CTTGACTTGAGAGGGACTCGCACATCCTTGATCATGTTGGTCGCGATCATCTTGCGAAGTACATCGACTGGAGCATGACCCATTCTCGCATGTAGATCGGCACAACTGGTTCCACTTGTTGTCACATTCGCTGATCGTTGAGTCGTCGAAGCCAGTAGAGTCCATCCACGAGATCCGCTGTCGCCACCACTTGCTGTGAGTTCTTGAGAGTCACATACATCTTGGACCCGTCAAACACGACTTGAAACTTGCCACCCTTGTAAATCTGTGGCACCGATAGCAGATTCTTGCTCATACTTGGAACATATAGCGCGTTCTTGATTTCGATCTCACGCTCTTCACCGTTGGGCAGAACCACCTTTTCCATGATGGTTCCCACACCCTTGATGGCCACCTTGTTGCCATCAGCTGTTGACGATCATCGGTTTTCTACCAGTATTGGTAACCGTGACCGATCCAATCCGAACCGCCTGTTCAGCTTAGTATTTACGACGTAGTTCTTACAGTAATTACCATAGTTGATTAGACGCGTAGGATGATGAGACGCTTCACATGATTTATATGTACACCACATATAAATCATGTAGTAAGTAGTAAGCCCCGATAATCAATCACTTTCGAATCTTCCAACTATTGGGCAAGTGTTTTCTGCTCTACTCTCTTCGGTCTCTCCGCTCCGTTTGCTCCGCTTTCCTCGCTCCGATCTACAATGCAACAGGTTATGAGCCCAAGCGCCATGTCGTCCACCAGCAACGCCTCCATTGACAAGTTCAACGGAGACAATTACGCAACGTGGAGCCGGTACATGCGCGGTGTGTTTTTGACGAAGTCCGTCTGGCACGTTGTCAACCGTGAAGTGACTCCGACTTTCACCGACCCGCGAGCGTCCGATGACTACGTCAAGGCAAGCAACGTCGCGTTTGGTATGATGCTGCTGCACATGAACGCGGACTACCATCATGTGCTGGACAACTGCGAGGAAGCCTGGGTTGCGTGGACAAGTCTGAAGACGCTGTACGGTGGGTCGCAGAAGGCAGGACGCATCTACCTCAAGCGACAACTTTTCAGTATCAAGATGGCTGAAGGCGCGAACGTCATGCATCACTGCAACGAGGTCCTCAACATCTCCGCCAAGCTTAGCGGCATCGGTGCGAAGATGGAAGACGAAGACGTTGCAATTTGTCTGCTACTCAGTCTTCCGAAGAGCTACGAAAATGTGGTGCTCAACATGGAAATGAGCAGCACCGAGCTTCGCACTCAAGATGTGGTGAGAGTCTGACGAATGAGCATGCCAAGCGTCAAGGAGAAAAAGGGACAACGACAGCGACTACGGTGAAGGCTGAAGATGCAAGCAAGGCATTCAGCGCCGAGCGTGAGCCCTACCAATGCACGTATTGTGGCAAGGTGGGACACACGGTGGATCGTTGCTGGACAAAGCAGAAGAACGAAGGTCGGGGAGCCCGACGCGGCGGCAATGGTCGTGGACGCGGGGCTAACAATGTCCAGTGGGGACATCATGATGAAGGCAATGGCTACGATCGAGTGGCGTTTGCAGTCTCGTTCGAATGTGGAGTTTCGACGAGCAAGGACGTGTCTGGAATGTGGGCCGTCGACAGTGGTGCAACGCACCACATTTGCCACGACAAGACCAAGTTCGCAAGTTTGGCAGAGCGCAATGAGGGCGAACTCTTGGTGGCTGATGGCAACAAGGTGGCCATCAAGGGTGTGGGAACCATCATGGAAAAGGTGGTTCTGCCCAACGGTGAAGAGCGTGAGATCGAAATCAAGAACGCGCTATATGTTCCAAGTATGAGCAAGAACCTGCTCTCGGTGCCACAGATTAACAGCCATGGCAAGTTTCAAGTCGTGTTTGACGGGTCCAAGATGTATGTGACTCTCAAGAACTCACAGCAAGTGGTGGCGACAGCGGATCTCGTGGATGGACTCTACTGGCTTCGGACGACTCAACGATCAGCGAATGTGACAACAAGTGGAACCAGTTGTGCCGATCTACATGCGAGAATGGGTCATGCTACAGTCGACGTGCTTCGCAAGATGGTCTCCAACAACATGATCAAAGATGTGGGAGTGCCTCTCAAGTCAAGTGGATCAGGTACATGTCGAGGATGTCAGCAAGGGAAAATGGTCCAAAACCCATTCCCAAGCAATCGTGACAAGCGAAGTTACGACACGTTTGAGCTACTTCATCTGGACATCTGCGGGCCCATGGAAAAGGATTCGCTCGGTGGCAGCAAATATTTGCTGCTGATCATCGACGAAGCCAGTGGATGCATGAAGGGCTTTTGTCTACGAGTGAAGTCCGAGAGTGAAGACTACATCCGGAAATATATCACCATGGTACAGACGCAATTCTGTAAGAAGGTCAAGTTCGTGCGACACGACGGAGCTCGCGAGTTTGCAACCAACTCGCTTCAACTGTTCTACGAAGACGAAGGCATTGAACAGCAGACAACGGTGCCGTATGCACATCAAACAAACGGAACAGCAGAGCGTGCCATTAGGACTATTGTCACGATCGGCCGCAGCATGCTTCATCATGCCAAACTGGACAAGTGTTTCTGGGCCGAAGCAGCGATGACGGCCATCTACGTCAAGAATCGACTGCCGTCACCTAAAGTCGTGCACAAGACCCCGTTTGAGATCGTCTACAACTTGAAACCAAGCGTCAAGCACATGCGAACATTCGGGTGTCAGACATACATACTGACGCCTAAAGAGAATCGACTCAAGTGGGATCCAAAGGCTCGCGCTGGCATATTCGTGGGCTACGAAGAAGTTTCGAAGGCATATCGTGTTTATGACATCGAGGCGGGGCAGGTGGTTATCAGCCGCGATGTCAACTTCGACGAGTCCACCTTTGGACTTCAACTGCCGATCACTGATGAAGATGTCGATGACCTGGACTTCGAATTGCTGGATCTTGATGACGAAGAGCTGCGTCAAATGGAGTACAAGCAAACAGGCAAGCGCAAGAACCGACTCAATGATGAAGATACAGCAGCTCCACGACCGCGTGCAGTGCGTCAACGACCAGGACTAGAAGAGTCAAGCGCGCCGGAAAACAACTCGTCACGACAAGAAGAAGACGAAGAAACGAAGGATTCTGGTGATTCAACACCGCCTGTGTTTTGGCGTGCGAGTGCAAATGCCGTTGAAGCAGCAGTGGACTTATCAGAACCCTCAACATTTGAAGCAGCAGTAAGCGGCCCTGACCAAGTGCACTGGAGAAAAGCAATTCATGCAGAGCTCGAGTCAATGCGACTTCGCGGTGTGTTTCGTGCAGCCAAGCTGCCCAACGGACAACGCGCCATTGGCACAAAATGGGTGTTCAAGATCAAGCGCAAGGCGGATGGGTCAATCGAGAAGTACAAGGCACGACTTGTGGCCAAGGGTTTCCGCCAAAAGTATGGCATCGACTACACGGAGACGTTTTCGCCTGTGGTCAAGTATGTGACGCTGCGAATGGTGATCGCAATTTCCAAGCATTTTGGATGGCCCATCGACCAGCTTGATGTGGTGACAGCTTTCCTGTATGGCGTCATGAAGGAACAAGTGTTCTGCGTGATTCCTGAAGGCGTCGAACTTGACAGTACGTTCGACTGCCTGGAATTGGTGAAGTCAATTTACGGCCTCAAGCAAGCGTCGCGAGTGTGGAACGAGACGTTCGACGAGTATGTGTGCTCCATCGGATTTCAAGTATCGGACTTCGACCCATGTCTCTACATCAAGACTTCGGACGGCCATTGCGTGTTTATACTGGTCTACGTGGACGACGTCTTGGTGACTGGAAGCTCACTCGAGCTGATTGCACAAACCAAGAACGACCTGAAGACGCGGTTCGAAATGACGGACAGCGGCAAGTGTGCGTTTGTTCTTGGGATCGAGCTTTTGGACGGTGAAGATGGCAGTGTGACACTATGTCAGCGTCGGTATGTCGATGATATCCTCAAGCGCTTTGGCATGGATGATTGCAAGGCAGTCGCAAGTCCAGTCGACATGAGCTCTCGACTTGTTTCAAGTGATGCAACTACCAAGGTCGATGCTCCTTTTCGCGAAGCTGTTGGTGCGTTGATGCACCTGACCACTGCAACGCGTCCGGACATTGCGTTTGCTGTGGGCTATGTGTCGCGGTTCATGGAAAATCCCCAAGAAGAACACTGGGTTGCAGTTAAGCGTATCTTTCGCTACCTACAAGGCACCAAGACGCATGGAATTTGCTACAAGCCAAGTGCAAGGATCGACTTCCGTGGATATTCGGATGCGGATTGGGCTGGTGATCTTACCGACCGCAAGTCAACATCGGGGTACACGTTCATGCTACTCGGTGCGCCAGTCAGTTGGGGCAGCAAGAAGCAGCCAAGTGTTTCGTTGTCCACGAGTGAAGCCGAATACATCGCACTCAGCTTGGCGATTCAAGAGGGCAAGTGGATTCATCGTCTGCTTTGTGAGATCGTGATGGCTGCCAATGAAGAAGGACCGGAACTCATGATTCATGAAGACAATCAGTCATGTATCAAGATGACGAAGAACCCAGTCAACCACGGCCGTGCCAAGCACATTGATATCAAGTACCATCACATCCGTGATGAGGTCAAGCGCGGTGAAGTGAAGCTCAAGTACTGTGAAACTGCGGTGATGTTAGCGGACATCATGACGAAGGGACTTCACGGGCCACGCCACAAGGAGATGACGGCGACTCTCGGGATTCGTGAGCATTCGGATTGAGGGGGCGTGTTGACGGTCATCGGTTTTCTACCAGTATTGGTAACCGTGACCGATCCAATCCGAACCGCCTGTTCAGCTTAGTATTTACGACGTAGTTCTTACGGTAATTACCATAGTTGATTAGACGCGTAGGATGATGAGACGCTTCACATGATTTATATGTACACCACATATAAATCATGTAGTAAGTAGTAAGCCCCGATAATCAATCACTTTCGAATCTTCCAACTATTGGGCAAGTGTTTTCTGCTCTACTCTCTTCGGTCTCTCCGCTCCGTTTGCTCCGCTTTCCTCGCTCCGATCTACAATGCAACAGGTTATGAGCCCAAGCGCCATGTCGTCCACCAGCAACGCCTCCATTGACAAGTTCAACGGAGACAATTACGCAACGTGGAGCCGGTACATGCGCGGTGTGTTTTTGACGAAGTCCGTCTGGCACGTTGTCAACCGTGAAGTGACTCCGACTTTCACCGACCCGCGAGCGTCCGATGACTACGTCAAGGCAAGCAACGTCGCGTTTGGTATGATGCTGCTGCACATGAACGCGGACTACCATCATGTGCTGGACAACTGCGAGGAAGCCTGGGTTGCGTGGACAAGTCTGAAGACGCTGTACGGTGGGTCGCAGAAGGCAGGACGCATCTACCTCAAGCGACAACTTTTCAGTATCAAGATGGCTGAAGGCGCGAACGTCATGCATCACTGCAACGAGGTCCTCAACATCTCCGCCAAGCTTAGCGGCATCGGTGCGAAGATGGAAGACGAAGACGTTGCAATTTGTCTGCTACTCAGTCTTCCGAAGAGCTACGAAAATGTGGTGCTCAACATGGAAATGAGCAGCACCGAGCTTCGCACTCAAGATGTGGTGAGAGTCCTGACGAATGAGCATGCCAAGCGTCAAGGAGAAAAAGGGACAACGACAGCGACTACGGTGAAGGCTGAAGATGCAAGCAAGGCATTCAGCGCCGAGCGTGAGCCCTACCAATGCACGTATTGTGGCAAGGTGGGACACACGGTGGATCGTTGCTGGACAAAGCAGAAGAACGAAGGTCGGGGGAGCCCGACGCGGCGGCAATGGTCGTGGACGCGGGGCTAACAATGTCCAGTGGGGACATCATGATGAAGGCAATGGCTACGATCGAGTGGCGTTTGCAGTCTCGTTCGAATGTGGAGTTTCGACGAGCAAGGACGTGTCTGGAATGTGGGCCGTCGACAGTGGTGCAACGCACCACATTTGCCACGACAAGACCAAGTTCGCAAGTTTGGCAGAGCGCAATGAGGGCGAACTCTTGGTGGCTGATGGCAACAAGGTGGCCATCAAGGGTGTGGGAACCATCATGGAAAAGGTGGTTCTGCCCAACGGTGAAGAGCGTGAGATCGAAATCAAGAACGCGCTATATGTTCCAAGTATGAGCAAGAACCTGCTCTCGGTGCCACAGATTAACAGCCATGGCAAGTTTCAAGTCGTGTTTGACGGGTCCAAGATGTATGTGACTCTCAAGAACTCACAGCAAGTGGTGGCGACAGCGGATCTCGTGGATGGACTCTACTGGCTTCGGACGACTCAACGATCAGCGAATGTGACAACAAGTGGAACCAGTTGTGCCGATCTACATGCGAGAATGGGTCATGCTCCAGTCGATGTACTTCGCAAGATGATCGCGACCAACATGATCAAGGATGTGCGAGTCCCTCTCAAGTCGGGTGGAGCAACTACATGTCGAGGATGTCAACAAGGGAAAATGGTCCAAAAACCATTTCCAAGCAACCGAGACAAGCGCAGCTACGATACGTTTGAGCTACTTCATCTGGACATCTGCGGGCCCATGGAAAAGGATTCGCTCGGTGGCAGCAAATATTTGCTGCTGATCATCGACGAAGCCAGTGGATGCATGAAGGGCTTTTGTCTACGAGTGAAGTCCGAGAGTGAAGACTACATCCGGAAATATATCACCATGGTACAGACGCAATTCTGTAAGAAGGTCAAGTTCGTGCGACACGACGGAGCTCGCGAGTTTGCAACCAACTCGCTTCAACTGTTCTACGAAGACGAAGGCATTGAACAGCAGACAACGGTGCCGTATGCACATCAAACAAACGGAACAGCAGAGCGTGCCATTAGGACTATTGTCACGATCGGCCGCAGCATGCTTCATCATGCCAAACTGGACAAGTGTTTCTGGGCCGAAGCAGCGATGACGGCCATCTACGTCAAGAATCGACTGCCGTCACCTAAAGTCGTGCACAAGACCCCGTTTGAGATCGTCTACAACTTGAAACCAAGCGTCAAGCACATGCGAACATTCGGGTGTCAGACATACATACTGACGCCTAAAGAGAATCGACTCAAGTGGGATCCAAAGGCTCGCGCTGGCATATTCGTGGGCTACGAAGAAGTTTCGAAGGCATATCGTGTTTATGACATCGAGGCGGGGCAGGTGGTTATCAGCCGCGATGTCAACTTCGACGAGTCCACCTTTGGACTTCAACTGCCGATCACTGATGAAGATGTCGATGACCTGAACTTCGAATTGCTGGATCTTGATGACGAAGAGCTGCGTCAAATGGAGTACAAGCAAACAGGCAAGCGCAAGAACCGACTCAATGATGAAGATACAGCAGCTCCACGACCGCGTGCAGTGCGTCAACGACCAGGACTAGAAGAGTCAAGCGCGCCGGAAAACAACTCGTCACGACAAGAAGAAGACGAAGAAACGAAGGATTCTGGTGATTCAACACCGCCTGTGTTTTGGCGTGCGATTGCAAATGCCGTTGAAGCAGCAGTGGACTTATCAGAACCCTCAACATTTGAAGCAGCAGTAAGCGGCCCTGACCAAGTGCACTGGAGAAAAGCAATTCATGCAGAGCTCGAGTCAATGCGACTTCGCGGTGTGTTTCGTGCAGCCAAGCTGCCCAACGGACAACGCGCCATTGGCACAAAATGGGTGTTCAAGATCAAGCGCAAGGCGGATGGGTCAATCGAGAAGTACAAGGCACGACTTGTGGCCAAGGGTTTCCGCCAAAAGTATGGCATCGACTACACGGAGACGTTTTCGCCTGTGGTCAAGTATGTGACGCTGCGAATGGTGATCGCAATTTCCAAGCATTTTGGATGGCCCATCGACCAGCTTGATGTGGTGACAGCTTTCCTGTATGGCGTCATGAAGGAACAAGTGTTCTGCGTGATTCCTGAAGGCGTCGAACTTGACAGTACGTTCGACTGCCTGGAATTGGTGAAGTCAATTTACGGCCTCAAGCAAGCGTCGCGAGTGTGGAACGAGACGTTCGACGAGTATGTGTGCTCCATCGGATTTCAAGTATCGGACTTCGACCCATGTCTCTACATCAAGACTTCGGACGGCCATTGCGTGTTTATACTGGTCTACGTGGACGACGTCTTGGTGACTGGAAGCTCGCTCGAGCTGATTGCACAAACCAAGAACGACCTGAAGACGCGGTTCGAAATGACGGACAGCGGCAAGTGTGCGTTTGTTCTTGGGATCGAGCTTTTGGACGGTGAAGATGGCAGTGTGACACTATGTCAGCGTCGGTATGTCGATGATATCCTCAAGCGCTTTGGCATGGATGATTGCAAGGCAGTCGCAAGTCCAGTCGACATGAGCTCTCGACTTGGTTCAAGTGATGCAACTACCAAGGTCGATGCTCCTTTTCGCGAAGCTGTTGGTGCGTTGATGCACCTGACCACTGCAACGCGTCCGGACATTGCGTTTGCTGTGGGCTATGTGTCGCGGTTCATGGAAAATCCCCAAGAAGAACACTGGGTTGCAGTTAAGCGTATCTTTCGCTACCTACAAGGCACCAAGACGCATGGAATTTGCTACAAGCCAAGTGCAAGGATCGACTTCCGTGGATATTCGGATGCGGATTGGGCTGGTGATCTTACCGACCGCAAGTCAACATCGGGGTACACGTTCATGCTACTCTGTGCGCCAGTCAGTTGGGGCAGCAAGAAGCAGCCAAGTGTTTCGTTGTCCACGAGTGAAACCGAATACATCGCACTCAGCTTGGCGATTCAAGAGGGCAAGTGGATTCATCGTCTGCTTTGTGAGATCGTGATGGCTGCCAATGAAGAAGGACCGGAACTCATGATCCATGAAGACAATCAGTCATGTATCAAGATGACGAAGAACCCAGTCAACCACGGCCGTGCCAAGCACATTGATATCAAGTACCATCACATCCGTGATGAGGTCAAGCGCGGTGAAGTGAAGCTCAAGTACTGTGAAACTGCGGTGATGTTAGCGGACATCATGACGAAGGGACTTCATGGACCACGCCACAAGGAGATGACGACGGCTCTCGGGATTCGTGAGCATTCGGATTGAGGGGGCGTTGTTGACGGTCATCGGTTTTCTACCAGTATTGGTAACCGTGACCGATCCAATCCGAACCGCCTGTTCAGCTTAGTATTTACGACGTAGTTCTTACGGTAATTACCATAGTTGATTAGACGCGTAGGATGATGAGACGCTTCACATGATTTATATGTACACCACATATAAATCATTTAGTAAGTAGTAAGCCCCGATAATCAATCACTTTCGAATCTTCCAACTATTGGGCAAGTGTTTTCTGCTCTACTCTCTTCGGTCTCTCCGCTCCGTTTGCTCCGCTTTCCTCGCTCCGATCTACAATGCAACAACCTTCGACGAGTTCATACGCTCGATTGGTTTTCAAGCATCTGGATTCGATCCATGTCTCTACATCATGACTTCGGAAGGCCATTGTGTTTTTGTGCTGGTCTACGTGGACGATGTCTTGGTGACTGTAAGCTCGCTCGAGATGATTGCGCGCACCAAGAACGACCTCAAGACACGCTTCGAGATGACGGACAGCGGCAAGTGTGCCTTTGTTCTTGGGATCGAGTTATTGGACGGTGAAGATGGCAGCGTGACTATGTGTCAGCGCCGTTATGTCGACGATGTCCTCAAGCGCTTTGGAATGGATGAGTGCAAGGCTGTGGCAAGTCCGGTGGACGTCAGCTCTCGACTGGTTCCAAGCAACTCTGCAAGCAAGGTGGATGTACCATTCCGTGAAGCAGTTGGTGCTTTGATGCATCTGACGACTGCAACGCGACCGGACATCGCCTATGCTGTAAGCTTTGTGTCACGGTTCATGGAGAAACCCCAAGAAGAACACTGGGTTGCAGTCAAGCGCATCTTCCGCTACCTACAAGGCACCAAGATGCATGGAATCTGCTACCAGCCAAGTGCGAAGATCGACTTTCGTGGCTATTCAGATGCAGACTGGGCCGGTGACCTTGCTGATCGCAAATCGACGTCCGGCTACGTCTTCATGCTATTGGGTGCTCCGGTGAGTTGGGGCAGCAAGAAACAGTCAAGTGTGTTACTGTCTACAAGCGAAGCGGAGTACATCGCGCTCAGCCTGGCGATCCAAGAAGGCAAGTGGATCAATCGCTTGCTGTGCGAGATCATGGCGGCTGCAAACGAAGAAGGACCCGAGCTCGTCATCCGTGAAGACAACCAGTCGTGCATCAAGATGACGAAGAATCCGGTCAACCACGGCCGCGCTAAACACATCGATATCAAGTACCATCACATCCGTGATGAAGTCAAACGCGGCGAAGTGAAGCTTGAATACTGCGAGACGACGTTGATGTTGGCGGACATCATGACGAAGGGACTTCACGGGCCACGCCACAAGGAGATGACGGCGGCGCTTGGCATCCGTGCGTGTTCGGATTGAGGGGGCGTTGTTGACGGTCATCGGTTTTCTACCAGTATTGGTAACCGTGACCGATCCAATCCGAACCGCCTGTTCAGCTTAGTATTTACGACGTAGTTCTTACGGTAATTACCATAGTTGATTAGACGCGTAGGATGATGAGACGCTTCACATGATTTATATGTACACCACATATAAATCATGTAGTAAGTAGTAAGCCCCGATAATCAATCACTTTCGAATCTTCCAACTATTGGGCAAGTGTTTTCTGCTCTACTCTCTTCGGTCTCTCCGCTCCGTTTGCTCCGCTTTCCTCGCTCCGATCTACAATGCAACAGGTTATGAGCCCAAGCGCCATGTCGTCCACCAGCAACGCCTCCATTGACAAGTTCAACGGAGACAATTACGCAACGTGGAGCCGGTACATGCGCGGTGTGTTTTTGACGAAGTCCGTCTGGCACGTTGTCAACCGTGAAGTGACTCCGACTTTCACCGACCCGCGAGCGTCCGATGACTACGTCAAGGCAAGCAACGTCGCGTTTGGTATGATGCTGCTGCACATGAACGCGGACTACCATCATGTGCTGGACAACTGCGAGGAAGCCTGGGTTGCGTGGACAAGTCTGAAGACGCTGTACGGTGGGTCGCAGAAGGCAGGACGCATCTACCTCAAGCGACAACTTTTCAGTATCAAGATGGCTGAAGGCGCGAACGTCATGCATCACTGCAACGAGGTCCTCAACATCTCCGCCAAGCTTAGCGGCATCGGTGCGAAGATGGAAGACGAAGACGTTGCAATTTGTCTGCTACTCAGTCTTCCGAAGAGCTACGAAAATGTGGTGCTCAACATGGAAATGAGCAGCACCGAGCTTCGCACTCAAGATGTGGTGAGAGTCCTGACGAATGAGCATGCCAAGCGTCAAGGAGCAAAGGGACAACGACAGCGACTACGGTGAAGGCTGAAGATGCAAGCAAGGCATTCAGCGCCGAGCGTGAGCCCTACCAATGCACGTATTGTGGCAAGGTGGGACACACGGTGGATCGTTGCTGGACAAAGCAGAAGAACGAAGGTCGGGGAGCCCGACGCGGCGGCAATGGTCGTGGACGCGGGGCTAACAATGTCCAGTGGGGACATCATGATGAAGGCAATGGCTACGATCGAGTGGCGTTTGCAGTCTCGTTCGAATGTGGAGTTTCGACGAGCAAGGACGTGTCTGGAATGTGGGCCGTCGACAGTGGTGCAACGCACCACATTTGCCACGACAAGACCAAGTTCGCAAGTTTGGCAGAGCGCAATGAGGGCGAACTCTTGGTGGCTGATGGCAACAAGATGGCCATCAAGGGTGTGGGAACCATCATGGAAAAGGTGGTTCTGCCCAACGGTGAAGAGCGTGAGATCGAAATCAAGAACGCGCTATATGTTCCAAGTATGAGCAAGAACCTGCTCTCGGTGCCACAGATTAACATCCATGGCAAGTTTCAAGTCGTGTTTGACGGGTCCAAGATGTATGTGACTCTCAAGAACTCACAGCAAGTGGTGGCGACAGCGGATCTCGTGGATGGACTCTACTGGCTTCGGACGACTCAACGATCAGCGAATGTGACAACAAGTGGAACCAGTTGTGCCGATCTACATGCGAGAATGGGTCATGCTCCAGTCGATGTACTTCGCAAGATGATCGCGACCAACATGATCAAGGATGTGCGAGTCCCTCTCAAGTCGGGTGGAGCAACTACATGTCGAGGATGTCAACAAGGGAAAATGGTCCAAAAACCATTTCCAAGCAACCGAGACAAGCGCAGCTACGATACGTTTGAGCTACTTCATCTGGACATCTGCGGGCCCATGGAAAAGGATTCGCTCGGTGGCAGCAAATATTTGCTGCTGATCATCGACGAAGCCAGTGGATGCATGAAGGGCTTTTGTCTACGAGTGAAGTCCGAGAGTGAAGACTACATCCGGAAATATATCACCATGGTACAGACGCAATTCTGTAAGAAGGTCAAGTTCGTGCGACACGACGGAGCTCGCGAGTTTGCAACCAACTCGCTTCAACTGTTCTACGAAGACGAAGGCATTGAACAGCAGACAACGGTGCCGTATGCACATCAAACAAACGGAACAGCAGAGCGTGCCATTAGGACTATTGTCACGATCGGCCGCAGCATGCTTCATCATGCCAAACTGGACAAGTGTTTCTGGGCCGAAGCAGCGATGACGGCCATCTACGTCAAGAATCGACTGCCGTCACCTAAAGTCGTGCACAAGACCCCGTTTGAGATCGTCTACAACTTGAAACCAAGCGTCAAGCACATGCGAACATTCGGGTGTCAGACATACATACTGACGCCTAAAGAGAATCGACTCAAGTGGGATCCAAAGGCTCGCGCTGGCATATTCGTGGGCTACGAAGAAGTTTCGAAGGCATATCGTGTTTATGACATCGAGGCGGGGCAGGTGGTTATCAGCCGCGATGTCAACTTCGACGAGTCCACCTTTGGACTTCAACTGCCGATCACTGATGAAGATGTCGATGACCTGGACTTCGAATTGCTGGATCTTGATGACGAAGAGCTGCGTCAAATGGAGTACAAGCAAACAGGTAAGCGCAAGAATCGACTCAATGATGAAGATACAGCAGCTCCACGACCGCGTGCAGTGCGTCAACGACCAGGACTAGAAGAGTCAAGCGCGCCGGAAAACAACTCGTCACGACAAGAAGAAGACGAAGAAACGAAGGATTCTGGTGATTCAACACCGCCTGTGTTTTGGCGTGCGAGTGCAAATGCCGTTGAAGCAGCAGTGGACTTATCAGAACCCTCAACATTTGAAGCAGCAGTAAGCGGCCCTGACCAAGTGCACTGGAGAAAAGCAATTCATGCAGAGCTCGAGTCAATGCGACTTCGCGGTGTGTTTCGTGCAGCCAAGCTGCCCAACGGACAACGCGCCATTGGCACAAAATGGGTGTTCAAGATCAAGCGCAAGGCGGATGGGTCAATCGAGAAGTACAAGGCACGACTTGTGGCCAAGGGTTTCCGCCAAAAGTATGGCATCGACTACACGGAGACGTTTTCGCCTGTGGTCAAGTATGTGACGCTGCGAATGGTGATCGCAATTTCCAAGCATTTTGGATGGCCCATCGACCAGCTTGATGTGGTGACAGCTTTCCTGTATGGCGTCATGAAGGAACAAGTGTTCTGCGTGATTCCTGAAGGCGTCGAACTTGACAGTACGTTCGACTGCCTGGAATTGGTGAAGTCAATTTACGGCCTCAAGCAAGCGTCGCGAGTGTGGAACGAGACGTTCGACGAGTATGTGTGCTCCATCGGATTTCAAGTATCGGACTTCGACCCATGTCTCTACATCAAGACTTCGGACGGCCATTGCGTGTTTATACTGGTCTACGTGGACGACGTCTTGGTGACTGGAAGCTCACTCGAGCTGATTGCACAAACCAAGAACGACCTGAAGACGCGGTTCGAAATGACGGACAGCGGCAAGTGTGCGTTTGTTCTTGGGATCGAGCTTTTGGACGGTGAAGATGGCAGTGTGACACTATGTCAGCGTCGGTATGTCGATGATATCCTCAAGCGCTTTGGCATGGATGATTGCAAGGCAGTCGCAAGTCCAGTCGACATGAGCTCTCGACTTGTTTCAAGTGATGCAACTACCAAGGTCGATGCTCCTTTTCGCGAAGCTGTTGGTGCGTTGATGCACCTGACCACTGCAACGCGTCCGGACATTGCGTTTGCTGTGGGCTATGTGTCGCGGTTCATGGAAAATCCCCAAGAAGAACACTGGGTTGCAGTTAAGCGTATCTTTCGCTACCTACAAGGCACCAAGACGCATGGAATTTGCTACAAGCCAAGTGCAAGGATCGACTTCCGTGGATATTCGGATGCGGATTGGGCTGGTGATCTTACCGACCGCAAGTCAACATCGGGGTACACGTTCATGCTACTCGGTGCGCCAGTCAGTTGGGGCAGCAAGAAGCAGCCAAGTGTTTCGTTGTCCACGAGTGAAGCCGAATACATCGCACTCAGCTTGGCGATTCAAGAGGGCAAGTGGATTCATCGTCTGCTTTGTGAGATCGTGATGGCTGCCAATGAAGAAGGACCGGAACTCATGATCCATGAAGACAATCAGTCGTGTATCAAGATGACGAAGAACCCAGTCAACCACGGCCGTGCCAAGCACATTGATATCAAGTACCATCACATCCGTGATGAGGTCAAGCGCGGTGAAGTGAAGCTCAAGTACTGTGAAACTGCGGTGATGTTAGCGGACATCATGACGAAGGGACTTCACGGGCCACGCCACAAGGAGATGACGGCGACTCTCGGGATTCGTGAGCATTCGGATTGAGGGGGCGTGTTGACGGTCATCGGTTTTCTACCAGTATTGGTAACCGTGACCGATCCAATCCGAACCGCCTGTTCAGCTTAGTATTTACGACGTAGTTCTTACGGTAATTACCATAGTTGATTAGACGCGTAGGATGATGAGACGCTTCACATGATTTATATGTACACCACATATAAATCATGTAGTAAGTAGTAAGCCCCGATAATCAATCACTTTCGAATCTTCCAACTATTGGGCAAGTGTTTTCTGCTCTACTCTCTTCGGTCTCTCCGCTACGTTTGCTCCGCTTTCCTCGCTCCGATCTACAATGCAACACTCTCCGCTTCGTTTTCTCTTCGCCTCGCGCTCAAATTACAACAGGCAATACTCCAAAACGACTTCACCTGATTCCACCTTCTCACGCACAAAATGGTAGCGTATGTCGATGTGTTTTGTTCTCTTATGGAACTCCGGGTTCTTGGCGAGAGCGATTGATCCTTGGTTGTCTTCATACATCTTGATCGCTTCGTCGCTTGTCATCTCACCAAGTTCCCCCAAAAGCACCTTGAGCCATACTGCTTCTTTGGTTGCTTCGGAAAGTGCCATGTATTCTGCTTCTGTTGATGATAGGGCGACCGTCCGTTGTTTCTGGCTTTTCCAGCTAATGCATCCACCGTTCATCATGAACACATAGCCGCTTGTACTTCGTCTTGACTCAATGTCGCCGGCCCAGTCTGCGTCGGTGTACCGCAGATACGGCTTCCTTCTTCACGTGTAAACTCAAGACCATGATTGGGCGTTGCTTGCAGGTATCTCAGCACACGCTTCAAAGCTTGCCAGTGAGTCGGGCATGGGTCGGACGAGAACTGGGATAATGATCCCACTGCAGCAGCTAGATCCGGACGTGTGGCGACCATGAGATACATGATGCCTCCGACAGCACTTCGATATGGCACGTTGCACATGGTGTCTTCGTGCTTGCATTCTTGTTCACACATGTTCTTGGTTAGCTTCAGGCCGGGATCTTGAGGCGTCTTCACTGGCTTGCTGTTATCCATTCCGAACTTGGTTAACACGGACTTGAGAAACTTGGTTTGTTGTACAGTCACCATTCCCGTCTTACGGTCGTTCTTGATCTCCATGCCGAGAAAGTAATCGAGCTCACCGAGATCCGTCATTTCGAAGCGTTTGCTCAGCGCCATCTTGGTTGACTTGAGGAGTTCGTTGTTGCTGCTGGCCAGGATGAGATCATCGACGTAGAGCACCACGAGAATCATGTCTTGGTCGTCTCGCTTGATGTAGATGCAGTGGTCCGATTCGCACTTCTTGAATCCCATCTTGATCATGAACCCATCGATTGTTTGGTTCCACATGCGAGGCGATTGCTTCAAGCCGTAGAGTGATCTCTTTAGCTTGCACACATAGTCCGGCTGTGTTGCATCCAGGTATCCGTCCGGCTGGTCCATGTAGATGTCTTCGTTGAGGGAGCCGTTAAGAAACGCTGTCTTGACGTCCATCTGATATAGCATTAGGCCGTACTTAGCCGCCATACTGAGCACCACACGAATCGATGTGAACTTGGCCACCGGTGCGAAAGTTTCTTCATAGTCAACTCCGAATTTCTGTGAGAATCCTTTGGCCACAAGTCTTGCCTTGAAACGTTTAACTTCGCCATCTTGATTCTCCTTTACACGAAAAACCCATCGGCACCCGATGGCCTTGCGACCTTTCGGAAGAGGCACGATTTCCCACGTGTCGTTTCTCTGAAGCGAATCGAACTCCGAGTCACACGCTTCTTTCCACTTGCCGGAGTCGCTTGATTCCATCGCCGACTTGAATGTAGTCGGCGTTTCCCCCACTGAATCAACGATGTAGGCTGCTTCAAAATCTATTGCAGCCGCTGACACATGCTCAAGCGACGGACCTCTGTACGTTCTTAGCTTGGGACTTGTGTTCCATTGTAGATCGGAGCGAGGAAAGCGGAGCAAACGGAGCGGAGAGACCGAAGAGAGTAGAGCAGAAAACACTTGCCCAATAGTTGAAAGATTCGAAAGTGATTGATTATCGGGGCTTACTACTTACTACATGATTTATATGTGGTGTACATATAAATCATGTGAAGCGTCTCATCATCCTACGCGTCTAATCAACTATGGTAATTACCGTAAGAACTACGTCGTAAATACTAAGCTGAACAGGCGGTTCGGATTGGATCGGTCACGGTTACCAATACTGGTAGAAAACCGATGACCGTCAACAACGCCCCCTCAATGCGAACACGCGCGTATGCCAAGCGCCTCTGTCAGCTCCTTGTGACGCGTTCCGTGAAGTGCCTTGGTTATGATATCTGCTAACATCACCGCAGTCTCACAGTACTTGAGCTTGACTTTGCCGCGCTTGACCTCATCACGAATGTGATGGTACTTAATGTCGATGTGCTTGGCACGGCCATGGTTGACAGGATTCTTCGTCATCTTGATGCACGATTGATTGTCTTCATCGATCATGAGTTCCGGTCCTTCTTCATTGGCAGCCATCACGATCTCACAAAGCAGACGATGAATCCACTTGCCCTCTTGAATCGCCAAGCTGAGTGCGATGTATTCGGCTTCACTCGTGGACAACGAAACACTTGGCTGCTTCTTGCTGCCCCAACTGACTGGCGCACCGAGTAGCATGAACGTGTACCCCGATGTTGACTTGCGGTCGGTAAGATCACCAGCCCAATCCGCATCCGAATATCCACGGAAGTCGATCCTTGCACTTGGCTTGTAGCAAATTCCATGCGTCTTGGTGCCTTGTAGGTAGCGAAAGATACGCTTAACTGCAACCCAGTGTTCTTCTTGGGGATTTTCCATGAACCGCGACACATAGCCCACAGCAAACGCAATGTCCGGACGCGTTGCAGTGGTCAGGTGCATCAACGCACCAACAGCTTCGCGAAAAGGAGCATCGACCTTGGTAGTTGCATCACTTGAAACAAGTCGAGAGCTCATGTCGACTGGACTTGCGACTGCCTTGCAATCATCCATGCCAAAGCGCTTGAGGATATCATCGACATACCGACGCTGACATAGTGTCACACTGCCATCTTCACCGTCCAAAAGCTCGATCCCAAGAACAAACGCACACTTGCCGCTGTCCGTCATTTCGAACCGCGTCTTCAGGTCGTTCTTGGTTTGTGCAATCAGCTCGAGCGAGCTTCCAGTCACCAAGACGTCGTCCACGTAGACCAGTATAAACACGCAATGGCCGTCCGAAGTCTTGATGTAGAGACATGGGTCGAAGTCCGATACTTGAAATCCGATGGAGCACACATACTCGTCGAACGTCTCGTTCCACACTCGCGACGCTTGCTTGAGGCCGTAAATTGACTTCACCAATTCCAGGCAGTCGAACGTACTGTCAAGTTTGACGCCTTCAGGAATCACGCAGAACACTCGTTCCTTCATGACGCCATACAGGAAAGCTGTCACCACATCAAGCTGGTCGATGGGCCATCCAAAATGCTTGGAAATTGCGATCACCATTCGCAGCGTCACATACTTGACCACAGGCGAAAACGTCTCCGTGTAGTCGATGCCATACTTTTGGCGGAAACCCTTGGCCACAAGTCATGCCTTGTACTTCTCGATTGACCCATCCGCCTTGCGCTTGATCTTGAACACCCATTTTGTGCCAATGGCGCGTTGTCCGTTGGGCAGCTTGGCTGCACGAAACACACCGCGAAGTCGCATTGACTCGAGCTCTGCATGAATTGCTTTTCTCCAGTGCACTTGGTCAGGGCCGCTTACTGCTGCTTCAAATGTTGAGGGTTCTGATAAGTCCACTGCTGCTTCAACGGCATTTGCAATCGCACGCCAAAGCACAGGCGGTGTTGAATCACCAGAATCCTTCGTTTCTTCGTCTTCTTCTTGTCGTGACGAGTTGTTTTCCGGCGCGCTTGACTCTTCTAGTCCTGGTCGTTGACGCACTGCACGCGGTCGTGGAGCTGCTGTATCTTCATCATTGAGTCGGTTCTTGCGCTTGCCTGTTTGCTTGTACTCCATTTGACGCAGCTCTTCGTCATCAAGATCCAGCAATTCGAAGTCCAGGTCATCGACATCTTCATCAGTGATCGGCAGTTGAAGTCCAAAGGTGGACTCGTCGAAGTTGACATCGCGGCTGATAACCACCTGCCCCGCCTCGATGTCATAAACACGATATGCCTTCGAAACTTCTTCGTAGCCCACGAATATGCCAGCGCGAGCCTTTGGATCCCACTTGAGTCGATTCTCTTTAGGCGTCAGTATGTATGTCTGACACCCGAATGTTCGCATGTGCTTGACGCTTGGTTTCAAGTTGTAGACGATCTCAAACGGGGTCTTGTGCACGACTTTAGGTGACGGCAGTCGATTCTTGACGTAGATGGCCGTCATCGCTGCTTCGGCCCAGAAACACTTGTCCAGTTTGGCATGATGAAGCATGCTGCGACCGATCGTGACAATAGTCCTAATGGCACGCTCTGCTGTTCCGTTTGTTTGATGTGCATACGGCACCGTTGTCTGCTGTTCAATGCCTTCGTCTTCGTAGAACAGTTGAAGCGAGTTGGTTGCAAACTCGCGAGCTCCGTCGTGTCGCACGAACTTGACCTTCTTACAGAATTGCGTCTGTACCATGGTGATATATTTCCGGATGTAGTCTTCACTCTCGGACTTCACTCGTAGACAAAAGCCCTTCATGCATCCACTGGCTTCGTCGATGATCAGCAGCAAATATTTGCTGCCACCGAGCGAATCCTTTTCCATGGGCCCGCAGATGTCCAGATGAAGTAGCTCAAACGTATCGTAGCTGCGCTTGTCTCGGTTGCTTGGAAATGGTTTTTGGACCATTTTCCCTTGTTGACATCCTCGACATGTAGTTGCTCCACCCGACTTGAGAGGGACTCGCACATCCTTGATCATGTTGGTCGCGATCATCTTGCGAAGTACATCGACTGGAGCATGACCCATTCTCGCATGTAGATCGGCACAACTGGTTCCACTTGTTGTCACATTCGCTGATCGTTGAGTCGTCCGAAGCCAGTAGAGTCCATCCACGAGATCCGCTGTCGCCACCACTTGCTGTGAGTTCTTGAGAGTCACATACATCTTGGACCCGTCAAACATGACTTGAAACTTGCCATGGCTGTTAATCTGTGGCACCGAGAGCAGGTTCTTGCTCATACTTGGAACATATAGCGCGTTCTTGATTTCGATCTCACGCTCTTCACCGTTGGGCAGAACCACCTTTTCCATGATGGTTCCCACACCCTTGATGGCCACCTTGTTGCCATCAGCCACCAAGAGTTCGCCCTCATTGCGCTCTGCCAAACTTGCGAACTTGGTCTTGTCGTGGCAAATGTGGTGCGTTGCACCACTGTCGACGGCCCACATTCCAGACACGTCCTTGCTCGTCGAAACTCCACATTCGAACAAGACTGCAAACGCCACTCGATCGTAGCCATTGCCTTCATCATGATGTCCCCACTGGACATTGTTAGCCCCGCGTCCACGACCATTGCCGCCGCGTCGGGCTCCCCGACCTTCGTTCTTCTGCTTTGTCCAGCAACGATCCACCGTGTGTCCCACCTTGCCACAATACGTGCATTGGTAGGGCTCACGCTCGGCGCTGAATGCCTTGCTTGCATCTTCAGCCTTCACCGTAGTCGCTGTCGTTGTCCCTTTTGCTCCTTGACGCTTGGCATGCTCATTCGTCAGGACTCTCACCACATCTTGAGTGCGAAGCTCGGTGCTGCTCATTTCCATGTTGAGCACCACATTTTCGTAGCTCTTCGGAAGACTGAGTAGCAGACAAATTGCAACGTCTTCGTCTTCCATCTTCGCACCGATGCCGCTAAGCTTGGCGGAGATGTTGAGGACCTCGTTGCAGTGATGCATGACGTTCGCGCCTTCAGCCATCTTGATACTGAAAAGTTGTCGCTTGAGGTAGATGCGTCCTGCCTTCTGCGACCCACCGTACAGCGTCTTCAGACTTGTCCACGCAACCCAGGCTTCCTCGCAGTTGTCCAGCACATGATGGTAGTCCGCGTTCATGTGCAGCAGCATCATACCAAACGCGACGTTGCTTGCCTTGACGTAGTCATCGGACGCTCGCGGGTCGGTGAAAGTCGGAGTCACTTCACGGTTGACAACGTGCCAGACGGACTTCGTCAAAAACACACCGCGCATGTACCGGCTCCACGTTGCGTAATTGTCTCCGTTGAACTTGTCAATGGAGGCGTTGCTGGTGGACGACATGGCGCTTGGGCTCATAACCTGTTGCATTGTAGATCGGAGCGAGGAAAGCGGAGCAAACGGAGCGGAGAGACCGAAGAGAGTAGAGCAGAAAACACTTGCCCAATAGTTGGAAGATTCGAAAGTGATTGATTATCGGGGCTTACTACTTACTACATGATTTATATGTGGTGTACATATAAATCATGTGAAGCGTCTCATCATCCTACGCGTCTAATCAACTATGGTAATTACCGTAAGAACTACGTCGTAAATACTAAGCTGAACAGGCGGTTCGGATTGGATCGGTCACGGTTACCAATACTGGTAGAAAACCGATGACCGTCAACAAAGGTCTCGTTCCAAACACGCGAGGCTTGCTTGAGACCGTAGATCGCCTTGATCAGCTCGAGACAGTCGAAATCACCTTCCATCTTGACGCCTTCCGGAATAGCGCAGAACACCTTCTCCTTCATCACTCCATACAGGAACGCAGTCACCACATCGAGCTGGTCGAGGGGCCATCCAAAGTGCTTGGTAATGGCGATGACCATTCGCAGCGTCACATACTTAACCACGGGCGAGAACGTCTCCGTGTAGTCGATGCCATACTTTTGGCGAAAACCCTTGGCCACAAGTCGTGCCTTGTACTTCTCGATCGACCCATCCGCCTTGCGCTTGATCTTGAAGACCCACTTTGTGCCAATGGCGATTTGTCCGTTGGGTAACTTGGCCGCACGAAAGACACCGCGAAGCTTCATCGAATCGAGCTCCGCATCAATTGCCTTGCGCCAGTGTACTTGGTCCGGGCCAGACACTGCTTCTTCAAATGTCGACGGCTCTGAAAAATCGACCGCTGCTTCGACGGCGTTTGCACTCGCATGCCAAAACGCGGAGGAAGTCGGTGTGTCATGTTGTTCCTCCGACTTCCTTTCTTCATCTTCGTTGGCTCGACGTGAAGAGAGGTCTGTTGCATTGTAGATCGGAGCGAAGAAAGCGGGGCAAACGGAGCGGAGAGATGTAAGAAGTAGGAGTTAAGTAAAGTAAATGACTTGTATATTACCGCGCACCAGACGCGTTTCGGCCCCCCGCCGGGGGCCTCATCAGTGGTTTGTCAATCTACAAGTGAGAACTATCCATACGTCTAGCTGCCGTACGACCTATAATAATGCATAGAACCCTAAAGAACATTCTAGACATACCCTATCATGGGTCGAATCTCTGGAGTCGAATCCAGTGCATCATGCACTTACAACACTCCCCCTCGACGACATGAGATGCAGACCACTTTGGTATCGACCCGCCTGTAATCCTCACTGCTGCATCCGTGCACCATGGGAATCTTGATTGAGTCTTGCCCCTGCGCTCCAGCCAACCTCGATGATACCGAGCGTTCCAGGTATTCCAGCTCCCCCATCGTCCAGCACCATGTCACATCTTGACATCTCGTAGTCGTCGTTCGCCTTGGATGTAGTTTTATCTTCTTCTTGACCACAAATACACTTGTCACCACTTGACTTGACTCTTCCTTCGATAGCACTCGCGCATTCAGACCATCTCGCGTCACCACCCTTGCACAAACCCTTTTCGACTGCACGCGCACCGTCAACGATCCCTGTCGATGAATTCTTCGGCGCCTTACTCGTGCATCGAGCGCCTTCTCTGACGGGGTGTCCCTCGCACAAGTTGGTCCTTGGTGAGGTGTCTGCAGCGAGCACTTGGGCTCATAACCTGTAAGAAGTAGGAGTTAAGTAAAGTAAATGACTTGTATATTACCGCGCACCAGACGCGTTTCGGCCCCCCGCCGGGGGCCTCATCAGTGGTTTGTCAATCTACAAGTGAGAACTATCCATACGTCTAGCTGCCGTACGACCTATAATAATGCATAGAACCCTAAAGAACATTCTAGACATACCCTATCATGGGTCGAATCTCTGGAGTCGAATCCAGTGCAACATGCACTTACAACAAGAGACCGAAGAGAGTAGAGCAGAAAACACTTGCCCAATAGTTGGAAGATTCGAAAGTGATTGATTATCGGGGCTTACTACTTACTACATGATTTATATGTGGTGTACATATAAATCATGTGAAGCGTCTCATCATCCTACGCGTCTAATCAACTATGGTAATTACCGTAAGAACTACGTCGTAAATACTAAGCTGAACAGGCGGTTCGGATTGGATCGGTCACGGTTACCAATACTGGTAGAAAACCGATGACCGTCAACACGTATGGCACCGTGGTTTGTTGCTCGATGCCTTCGACTTCGTAGAAATCTTGAAGCGAGTTCGTCTACGTCAAGAATCGACTGCCGTCACCTAAAGTCGTGCACAAGACCCCGTTTGAGATCGTCTACAACTTGAAACCAAGCGTCAAGCACATGCGAACATTCGGGTGTCAGACATACATACTGACGCCTAAAGAGAATCGACTCAAGTGGGATCGATTCTTGACGTAGATGGCCGTCATTGCTGCTTCGGCCCAGAAACACTTGTCCAGTTTGGCATGATGAAGCATGCTGCGGCCGATCGTGACAATAGTCCTAATGGCACGCTCTGCTGTTCCGTTTGTTTGATGTGCATACGGCACCGTTGTCTGCTGTTCAATGCCTTCGTCTTCGTAGAACAGTTGAAGCGAGTTGGTTGCAAACTCGCGAGCTCCGTCGTGTCGCACGAACTTGACCTTCTTACAGAATTGCGTCTGTACCATGGTGATATATTTCCGGATGTAGTCTTCACTCTCGGACTTCACTCGTAGACAAAAGCCCTTCATGCCTCCACTGGCTTCGTCGATGATCAGCAGCAAATATTTGCTGCCACCGAGCGAATCCTTTTCCATGGGCCCGCAGATGTCCAGATGAAGTAGCTCAAACGTATCGTAGCTGCGCTTGTCTCGGTTGCTTGGAAATGGTTTTTGGACCATTTTCCCTTGTTGACATCCTCGACATGTAGTTGCTCCACCCGACTTGAGAGGGACTCGCACATCCTTGATCATGTTGGTCGCGATCATCTTGCGAAGTACATCGACTGGAGCATGACCCATTCTCGCATGTAGATCGGCACAACTGGTTCCACTTGTTGTCACATTCGCTGATCGTTGAGTCGTCCGAAGCCAGTAGAGTCCATCCACGAGATCCGCTGTCGCCACCACTTGCTGTGAGTTCTTGAGAGTCACATACATCTTGGACCCGTCAAACACGACTTGAAACTTGCCATGGATGTTAATCTGTGGCACCGAGAGCAGGTTCTTGCTCATACTTGGAACATATAGCGCGTTCTTGATTTCGATCTCACGCTCTTCACCGTTGGGCAGAACCACCTTTTCCATGATGGTTCCCACACCCTTGATGGCCACCTTGTTGCCATCAGCCACCAAGTTCGCCCTCATTGCGCTCTGCCAAACTTGCGAACTTGGTCTTGTCGTGGCAAATGTGGTGCGTTGCACCACTGTCGACAGCCCACATTCCAGACACGTCCTTGCTCGTCGAAACTCCACATTCGAACGAGACTGCAAACGCCACTCGATCGTAGCCATTGCCTTCATCATGATGTCCCCACTGGACATTGTTAGCCCCGCGTCCACGACCATTGCCGCCGCGTCGGGCTCCCCGACCTTCGTTCTTCTGCTTTGTCCAGCAAGGATCCACCGTGTGTCCCACCTTGCCACAATACGTGCATTGGTAGGGCTCACGCTCGGCGCTGAATGCCTTGCTTGCATCTTCAGCCTTCACCGTAGTCGCTGTCGTTGTCCCTTTTGCTCCTTGACGCTTGGCATGCTCATTCGTCAGGACTCTCACCACATCTTGAGTGCGAAGCTCGGTGCTGCTCATTTCCATGTTGAGCACCACATTTTCGTAGCTCTTCGGAAGACTGAGTAGCAGACAAATTGCAACGTCTTCGTCTTCCATCTTCGCACCGATGCCGCTAAGCTTGGCGGAGATGTTGAGGACCTCGTTGCAGTGATGCATGACGTTCGCGCCTTCAGCCATCTTGATACTGAAAAGTTGTCGCTTGAGGTAGATGCGTCCTGCCTTCTGCGACCCACCGTACAGCGTCTTCAGACTTGTCCACGCAACCCAGGCTTCCTCGCAGTTGTCCAGCACATGATGGTAGTCCGCGTTCATGTGCAGCAGCATCATACCAAACGCGACGTTGCTTGCCTTGACGTAGTCATCGGACGCTCGCGGGTCGGTGAAAGTCGGAGTCACTTCACGGTTGACGACGTGCCAGACGGACTTCGTCAAAAACACACCGCGCATGTACCGGCTCCACGTTGCGTAATTGTCTCCGTTGAACTTGTCAATGGAGGCGTTGCTGGTGGACGACATGGCGCTTGGGCTCATAACCTGTTGCATTGTAGATCGGAGCGAGGAAAGCGGAGCAAACGGAGCGGAGAGACCGAAGAGAGTAGAGCAGAAAACACTTGCCCAATAGTTGGAAGATTCGAAAGTGATTGATTATCGGGGCTTACTACTTACTACATGATTTATATGTGGTGTACATATAAATCATGTCAAGCGTCTCATCATCCTACGCGTCTAATCAACTATGGTAATTACCGTAAGAACTACGTCGTAAATACTAAGCTGAACAGGCGGTTCGGATTGGATCGGTCACGGTTACCAATACTGGTAGAAAACCGATGACCGTCAACAAGGTCATCCGGCGCACTTGACTCTTCCAATCCGGGTCGTTGGCGCACTGCTCGGGGCATGCTTGCGTCGTCATTGTCGTGACTGGGTTGGGCCTTGCGCTTTCCTGTTTGTTTGAAGTGTCTCGGACGCGGTTCTTCATCATCAAGATCGATCGATTCGAAGTCCAGGCCATCAACATCGTCATCGGAAATCATCATCGACATTCCAAAGGCCGACTCATCGAAGTTGACATCGCGACTTATCATCACCTGCCCCGCTTCGATGTCGTAAACTCGATACGCCTTGGACACTTCTTCGTAGCCCAAAAACAATCCAGCCCGGGCCTTGGGATCCCACTTGAGTCGTTTCTCCTTCGGGGTCAAGATGTATGCTTGGCACCCAAAAACGCGCATGTGCTTGACACTTGGCTTAGAACTGTAGACAATCTCGAACGGTGTCTTGTGTGGAATCTTGGGTGACGGCAAACGTGTTGACGGTCATCGGTTTTCAACCAGTATTGGTAACCGTGACCGATCCAATCCGAACCGCCTGTTCAGCTTAGTATTTACGACGTAGTTCTTACGGTAATTACCATAGTTGATTAGACGCGTAGGATGATGAGACGCTTCACATGATTTATATGTACACCACATATAAATCATGTAGTAAGTAGTAAGCCCCGATAATCAATCACTTTCGAATCTTCCAACTATTGGGCAAGTGTTTTCTGCTCTACTCTCTTCGGTCTCTCCGCTCCGTTCGCTCCGCTTTCCTCGCTCCGATCTACAATGCAACAGGTTATGAGCCCAAGCGCCATGTCGTCCACCAGCAACGCCTCCATTGACAAGTTCAACGGAGACAATTACGCAACGTGGAGCCGGTACATGCGCGGTGTGTTTTTGACGAAGTCCGTCTTGCACGTCGTCAACCGTGAAGTGACTCCGACTTTCACCGACCCGCGAGCGTCCGATGACTACGTCAAGGCAAGCAACGTCGCGTTTGGTATGATGCTGCTGCACATGAACGCGGACTACCATCATGTGCTGGACAACTGCGAGGAAGCCTGGGTTGCGTGGACAAGTCTGAAGACGCTGTACGGTGGGTCGCAGAAGGCAGGACGCATCTACCTCAAGCGACAACTTTTCAGTATCAAGATGGCTGAAGGCGCGAACGTCATGCATCACTGCAACGAGGTCCTCAACATCTCCGCCAAGCTTAGCGGCATCGGTGCGAAGATGGAAGACGAAGACGTTGCAATTTGTCTGCTACTCAGTCTTCCGAAGAGCTACGAAAATGTGGTGCTCAACATGGAAATGAGCAGCACCGAGCTTCGCACTCAAGATGTGGTGAGAGTCCTGACGAATGAGCATGCCAAGCGTCAAGGAGAAAAAGGGACAACGACAGCGACTACGGTGAAGGCTGAAGATGCAAGCAAGGCATTCAGCGCCGAGCGTGAGCCCTACCAATGCACGTATTGTGGCAAGGTGGGACACACGGTGGATCGTTGCTGGACAAAGCAGAAGAACGAAGGTCGGGGAGCCCGACGCGGCGGCAATGGTCGTGGACGCGGGGCTAACAATGTCCAGTGGGGACATCATGATGAAGGCAATGGCTACGATCGAGTGGCGTTTGCAGTCTCGTTCGAATGTGGAGTTTCGACGAGCAAGGACGTGTCTGGAATGTGGGCCGTCGACAGTGGTGCAACGCACCACATTTGCCACGACAAGACCAAGTTCGCAAGTTTGGCAGAGCGCAATGAGGGCGAACTCTTGGTGGCTGATGGCAACAAGGTGGCCATCAAGGGTGTGGGAACCATCATGGAAAAGGTGGTTCTGCCCAACGGTGAAGAGCGTGAGATCGAAATCAAGAACGCGCTATATGTTCCAAGTATGAGCAAGAACCTGCTCTCGGTGCCACAGATTAACAGCCATGGCAAGTTTCAAGTCGTGTTTGACGGGTCCAAGATGTATGTGACTCTCAAGAACTCACAGCAAGTGGTGGCGACAGCGGATCTCGTGGATGGACTCTACTGGCTTCGGACGACTCAACGATCAGCGAATGTGACAACAAGTGGAACCAGTTGTGCCGATCTACATGCGAGAATGGGTCATGCTCCAGTCGATGTACTTCGCAAGATGATCGCGACCAACATGATCAAGGATGTGCGAGTCCCTCTCAAGTCGGGTGGAGCAACTACATGTCGAGGATGTCAACAAGGGAAAATGGTCCAAAAACCATTTCCAAGCAACCGAGACAAGCGCAGCTACGATACGTTTGAGCTACTTCATCTGGACATCTGCGGGCCCATGGAAAGGATTCGCTCGGTGGCAGCAAATATTTGCTGCTGATCATCGACGAAGCCAGTGGAGGCATGAAGGGCTTTTGTCTACGAGTGAAGTCCGAGAGTGAAGACTACATCCGGAAATATATCACCATGGTACAGACGCAATTCTGTAAGAAGGTCAAGTTTGTGCGCCAAGACGGAGCTCGCGAGTTTGCAACGAACTCGCTTCAAGATTTCTACGAGGATGAAGGCATTGAACAGCAGACGACGGTGCCGTATGCACACCAGAACAACGGAACAGCAATCGCGCCATCGGGACTATCGTCACGATCGGCCGCAGCATGCTTCACCATGCCAAGTTGGACAAGTGCTTCTGGGCTGAATTAGCAATGACGGTCATCTACGTCAAGAATCGCCTACCGTCACCAAAAATTGTGCATAAGACCCCGTTTGAGATCGTGTACAACTCCAAGCGAAGTTTCAAGCACATGCGAGTATTCGGCTGTCAGACATTTATACTGACTCCGAAGGAGAAGCGACTCAAGTGGGATCCAAAGGCTCGCGCTGGCATATTCGTGGGCTACGAAGAAGTGTCCAAGGCATATCGTGTATTTGACATTGAGGCGGGGCAGGTGGTTATCAGCCGCGATGTCAACTTCGACGAGTCCACCTTTGGACTTCAACTGCCGATCACTGATGAAGATGTCGATGACCTGGACTTCGAATTGCTGGATCTTGATGACGAAGAGCTGCGTCAAATGGAGTACAAGCAAACAGGCAAGCGCAAGAACCGACTCAATGATGAAGATACAGCAGCTCCACGACCGCGTGCAGTGCGTCAACGACCAGGACTAGAAGAGTCAAGCGCGCCGGAAAACAACTCGTCACGACAAGAAGAAGACGAAGAAACGAAGGATTCTGGTGATTCAACACCGCCTGTGCTTTGGCGTGCGAGTGCAAATGCCGTTGAAGCAGCAGTGGACTTATCAGAACCCTCAACATTTGAAGCAGCAGTAAGCGGCCCTGACCAAGTGCACTGGAGAAAAGCAATTCATGCAGAGCTCGAGTCAATGCGACTTCGCGGTGTGTTTCGTGCAGCCAAGCTGCCCAACGGACAACGCGCCATTGGCACAAAATGGGTGTTCAAGATCAAGCGCAAGGCGGATGGGTCAATCGAGAAGTACAAGGCACGACTTGTGGCCAAGGGTTTCCGCCAAAAGTATGGCATCGACTACACGGAGACGTTTTCGCCTGTGGTCAAGTATGTGACGCTGCGAATGGTGATCGCAATTTCCAAGCATTTTGGATGGCCCATCGACCAGCTTGATGTGGTGACAGCTTTCCTGTATGGCGTCATGAAGGAACAAGTGTTCTGCGTGATTCCTGAAGGCGTCGAACTTGACAGTACGTTCGACTGCCTGGAATTGGTGAAGTCAATTTACGGCCTCAAGCAAGCGTCGCGAGTGTGGAACGAGACGTTCGACGAGTATGTGTGCTCCATCGGATTTCAAGTATCGGACTTCGACCCATGTCTCTACATCAAGACTTCGGACGGCCATTGCGTGTTTATACTGGTCTACGTGGACGACGTCTTGGTGACTGGAAGCTCGCTCGAGCTGATTGCACAAACCAAGAACGACCTGAAGACGCGGTTCGAAATGACGGACAGCAGCAAGTGTGCGTTTGTTCTTGGGATCGAGCTTTTGGACGGTGAAGATGGCAGTGTGACACTATGTCAGCGTCGGTATGTCGATGATATCCTCAAGCGCTTTGGCATGGATGATTGCAAGGCAGTCGCAAGTCCAGTCGACATGAGCTCTCGACTTGTTTCAAGTGATGCAACTACCAAGGTCGATGCTCCTTTTCGCGAAGCTGTTGGTGCGTTGATGCACCTGACCACTGCAACGCGTCCGGACATTGCGTTTGCTGTGGGCTATGTGTCGCGGTTCATGGAAAATCCCCAAGAAGAACACTGGGTTGCAGTTAAGCGTATCTTTCGCTACCTACAAGGCACCAAGACGCATGGAATTTGCTACAAGCCAAGTGCAAGGATCGACTTCCGTGGATATTCGGATGCGGATTGGGCTGGTGATCTTACCGACCGCAAGTCAACATCGGGGTACACGTTCATGCTACTCGGTGCGCCAGTCAGTTGGGGCAGCAAGAAGCAGCCAAGTGTTTCGTTGTCCACGAGTGAAGCCGAATACATCGCACTCAGCTTGGCGATTCAAGAGGGCAAGTGGATTCATCGTCTGCTTTGTGAGATCGTGATGGCTGCCAATGAAGAAGGACCGGAACTCATGATCCATGAAGACAATCAGTCGTGTATCAAGATGACGAAGAACCCAGTCAACCACGGCCGTGCCAAGCACATTGATATCAAGTACCATCACATCCGTGATGAGGTCAAGCGCGGTGAAGTGAAGCTCAAGTACTGTGAAACTGCGGTGATGTTAGCGGACATCATGACGAAGGGACTTCACGGGCCACGCCACAAGGAGATGACGGCGACTCTCGGGATTCGTGAGCATTCGGATTGAGGGGGCGTGTTGACGGTCATCGGTTTTCTACCAGTATTGGTAACCGTGACCGATCCAATCCGAACCGCCTGTTCAGCTTAGTATTTACGACGTAGTTCTTACGGTAATTACCATAGTTGATTAGACGCGTAGGATGATGAGACGCTTCACATGATTTATATGTACACCACATATAAATCATGTAGTAAGTAGTAAGCCCCGATAATCAATCACTTTCGAATCTTCCAACTATTGGGCAAGTGTTTTCTGCTCTACTCTCTTCGGTCTCTCCGCTCCGTTTGCTCCGCTTTCCTCGCTCCGATCTACATTGCAACAAAACGGTTCTTCTCATAGACGGCCGTCATTGCCGCTTCAGCCCAGAAGCACTTGTCCAACTTGGCATGATGGAGCATGCTACGACCGATGGTGACGATAGTTCGAATCGCGCGTTCAGCAGTTCCATTGGCTTGATGTGCGTATGGCACCGTGGTTTGTTGCTCGATGCCTTCGACTTCGTAGAAATCTTGAAGCGAGTTCGTCGCAAACTCGCGGGCTCCATCGTGTCGCACAAATTTGACCTTCTTGTTGAACTGCGTCTGTATCATCGTGATGTACTTCTTGATGCACTCTTCGCTCTCTGACTTGGAATGCAGACAAAAACCCTTCATGCATCCGATGGCTTCATCCACGATCAGCAGCAGATACTTGCTGCCACCCAGAGATTTTTCTTCCATGGGTCCGCAGATGTCGAAGTGGAGCATCTCGAAGGTGTTGTAGGTGCGCTTGTCACGGTTGCTCGGGAATGGTTTTTGGACCATCTTCCCTTCTTGGCATCCTCGACACACACTTGATCCATTCGGCTTGGAAGGGATGTGAGCGTCCTTGATCATGTGGCTTGTCACCATCTTGCGAAGCACGTCGACTGGAGCATGACCCATTCGCGCATGTAGATCAACAGCGTTGTTGAGTGATGTCGCATTGGCCGATCGCTGCGTCGTGCGAAGCCAGTAGAGTCCGTCTACAAGATCCGCAGCTGCCACCACTTGATTGGAATCCTTGCGAGCGACGTACATCGTATCCCCGTCAAACACCACTTGGAAGTTGCCGTGCTTGTTAATCTGCGGCACCGAGAGCAGATTTTTGCTCATGCTGGGCACATAGAGCGCGTTCTTGATCTCGATCTCGCGCTCTTCCCCGTTTGGCAGAATCACCTTTTCCACGATGGTCCCCACACCTTTGATGGCCGCCTTGTTGCCATCAGCCACCAGGATCTCGCCATCATTGCCTTCGACCAAGCTTGCAAACTTGAACTTGTCGTGGCAGATGTGATGTGTTGCCCCGCTGTCAACGGCCCACATTCCTGGTCCATTCTTGTTCGTCGAAACTCCGCATTCAAACGAAACTGCAAACGCCACTCGATCGTAGCTGTTGCCTTCATCATAATGTCGCCACTGGACATTGTTTGCCCCGCGTCCACGACCATTGCCGCCGCGTTGGGCTCCTCGACTTTCATCCTTTTGCTTCGTCCAGCAACGATCCACCGTGTGTCCCACCTTGCCACAATACGTGCATTGGTAGGGCTCACGCTCGGCGCTGAATGCCTTTGTCGCATCTTCAGTCTTCACCATTTTCGTTGCCGTTGTCATCTTCTCGCCTTGTCGCTTGATGTGCTCGTTAGTCAGCACCTTGACCACATCTTGCGTGCGCAGCTCTGCATTGCTCATCTCCAAGTTCAGAACCACGTTCTCGAAACTCTTCGGGAGACTGAGCAGCAAGCAGATCGCAATGTCTTCGTCTTCCATCTTGGCACCGATGCTGCTGAGCTTGGCGCCGATGTTCAAGACTTCGTTGCAATGGTGCAAGACGTTGGCACCTTCCGTCATCTTGATGCTGAACAGCTGGCGCTTGAGGTAGATGCGTCCCGCCTTCTGCGACCCACCATAGAGCATCTTCAACCGCGACCACGCTGTCCATGCTTCTTCACAGTTGTCGACCACATGGTGGTAGTCGGCGTCCATGTGGAGCAACATCAACCCGAACGCGATGTTGCTCGCCTTGACGTACTCGTCGGAAGCTCGCGTGTCGGTGAAGGTTGGAGACGTTTCGCGGTTCACGACGTACCAGACTGACTTCGTCAGAAACACGCCGCGCATGTAGCGACACCAGGTTGAGTAGTTGTCCCCATCGAACTTATCGATGGAGACACTGGCCGAGGTGTTGTTGGACGACATGGCGCTTGGGCTCATAACCTGTTGTAACTTGAGCGCGAGGCGAAGAGAAAACGAAGCGGAGAGACCGGAGAGAACGAAGCAGAGAACACTTGCTCACTTGAGGGAGGATTCGAAAGTGATTGATTTATAGGTCTTAACTTCTGCCTACCCTAGACTGCATCCAATCACATGGTGCATCTAATCAACCTGATTTACACGCGTCCAATCATCCTACGCGTCTAATCATCTCTGAGGTAATTACCGATGTAAAAACTATCTCGTAAGAACTACGCGCTAGGTTCGGATTGTACCGGTAACCCTCAATAAGCCCACATTCCATACACGTCCTTGCTCGTCGAAACTCCACATTCGAACGAGACTGCAAACGCCACTCGATCGTAGCAATTGCCTTCATCATGATGTCCCCACTGGACATTGTTAGCCCCGCGTCCACGACCATTGCCGCCGCGTCGGGCTCCCCGACCTTCGTTCTTCTGCTTTGTCCAGCAACGATCCACCGTGTGTCCCACCTTGCCACAATACGTGCATTGGTAGGGCTCACGCTCGGCGCTGAATGCCTTGCTTGCATCTTCAGCCTTCACCGTAGTCGCTGTCGTTGTCCTTGTTGCTCCTTGACGCTTGGCATGCTCATTCGTCAGGACTCTCACCACATCTTGAGTGCGAAGCTCGGTGCTGCTCATTTCCATGTTAAGCACCACATTTTCGTAGCTCTTCGGAAGACTGAGTAGCAGACAAATTGCAACGTCTTCGTCTTCCATCTTCGCACCGATGCCGCTAAGCTTGGCGGAGATGTTGAGGACCTCGTTGCAGTGATGCATGACGTTCGCGCCTTCAGCCATCTTGGTGCTGAAAAGTTGTCGCTTGAGGTAGATGCGTCCTGCCTTCTGCGACCCACCGTACAGCGTCTTCAGACCTGTCCACGCAACCCAGGCTTCCTCGCAGTTGTCCAGCACATGATGGTAGTCCGCGTTCATGTGCAGCAGCATCATACCAAACGCGACGTTGCTTGCCTTGACGTAGTCATCGGACGCTCGCGGGTCGGTGAAAGTCGGAGTCACTTCACGGTTGACGACGTGCAAGACGGACTTCGTCAAAAACACACCGCGCATGTACCGGCTCCACGTTGCGTAATTGTCTCCGTTGAACTTGTCAATGGAGGCGTTGCTGGTGGACGACATGGCGCTTGGGCTCATAACCTGTTGCATTGTAGATCGGAGCGAGGAAAGCGGAGCAAACGGAGCGGAGAGACCGAAGAGAGTAGAGCAGAAAACACTTGCCCAATAGTTGGAAGATTCGAAAGTGATTGATTATCGGGGCTTACTACTTACTACATGATTTATATGTGGTGTACATATAAATCATGTGAAGCGTCTCATCATCCTACGCGTCTAATCAACTATGGTAATTACCGTAAGAACTACGTCGTAAATACTAAGCTGAACAGGCGGTTCGGATTGGATCGGTCACGGTTACCAATACTGGTAGAAAACCGATGACCGTCAACACGCCCCCTCAATCCGAATGCTCACGAATCCCGAGAGTCGCCGTCATCTCCTTGTGGCGTGGTCCATGAAGTCCCTTCGTCATGATGTCCGCTAACATCACCGCAGTTTCACAATACTTGAGCTTCACTTCACCGCGCTTGACCTCATCACGGATGTGATGGTACTTGATATCAATGTGCTTGGCACGGCCGTGGTTGACTGGGTTCTTCGTCATCTTGATACATGACTGATTGTCTTCATGAATCATGAGTTCCGGTCCTTCTTCATTGGCAGCCATCACGATCTCACAAAGCAGACGATGAATCCACTTGCCCTCTTGAATCGCCAAGCTGAGTGCGATGTATTCGGCTTCACTCGTGGACAACGAAACACTTGGCTGCTTCTTGCTGCCCCAACTGACTGGCGCACCGAGTAGCATGAACGTGTACCCCGATGTTGACTTGCGGTCGGTAAGATCACCAGCCCAATCCGCATCCGAATATCCACGGAAGTCGATCCTTGCACTTGGCTTGTAGCAAATTCCATGCGTCTTGGTGCCTTGTAGGTAGCGAAAGATACGCTTAACTGCAACCCAGTGTTCTTCTTGGGGATTTTCCATGAACCGCGACACATAGCCCACAGCAAACGCAATGTCCGGACGCGTTGCAGTGGTCAGGTGCATCAACGCACCAACAGCTTCGCGAAAAGGAGCATCGACCTTGGTAGTTGCATCACTTGAAACAAGTCGAGAGCTCATGTCGACTGGACTTGCGACTGCCTTGCAATCATCCATGCCAAAGCGCTTGAGGATATCATCGACATACCGACGCTGACATAGTGTCACACTGCCATCTTCACCGTCCAAAAGCTCGATCCCAAGAACAAACGCACACTTGCCGCTGTCCGTCATTTCGAACCGCGTCTTCAGGTCGTTCTTGGTTTGTGCAATCAGCTCGAGCGAGCTTCCAGTCACCAAGACGTCGTCCACGTAGACCAGTATAAACACGAAATGGCCGTCCGAAGTCTTGATGTAGAGACATGGGTCGAAGTCCGATACTTGAAATCCGATGGAGCACACATACTCGTCGAACGTCTCGTTCCACACTCGCGACGCTTGCTTGAGGCCGTAAATTGACTTCACCAATTCCAGGCAGTCGAACGTACTGTCAAGTTCGACGCCTTCAGGAATCACGCAGAACACTTGTTCCTTCATGACGCCATACAGGAAAGCTGTCACCACATCAAGCTGGTCGATGGGCCATCCAAAATGCTTGAAAATTGCGATCACCAGTCGCAGCGTCACATACTTGACCACAGGCGAAAACGTCTCCGTGTAGTCGATGCCATACTTTTTGCGGAAACCCTTGGCCACAAGTCGTGCCTTGTACTTCTCGATTGACCCATCCGCCTTGCGCTTGATCTTGAACACCCATTTTGTGCCAATGGCGCGTTGTCCGTTGGGCAGCTTGGCTGCACGAAACACACCGCGAAGTCGCATTGACTCGAGCTCTGCATGAATTGCTTTTCTCCAGTGCACTTGGTCAGGGCCGCTTACTGCTGCTTCAAATGTTGAGGGTTCTGATAAGTCCACTGCTGCTTCAACGGCATTTGCACTCGCACGCCAAAGCACAGGCGGTGTTGAATCACCAGAATCCTTCGTTTCTTCGTCTTCTTCTTGTCGTGACGAGTTGTTTTCCGGCGCGCTTGACTCTTCTAGTCCTGGTCGTTGACGCACTGCACACGGTCGTGGAGCTGCTGTATCTTCATCATTGAGTCGATTCTTGCGCTTACCTGTTTGCTTGTACTCCATTTGACGCAGCCCTTCGTCATCAAGATCCAGCAATTCGAAGTCCAGGTCATCGACATCTTCATCAGTGATCGGCAGTTGAAGTCCAAAGGTGGACTCGTCGAAGTTGACATCGCGGCTGATAACCACCTGCCCCGCCTCGATGTCATAAACACGATATGCCTTCGAAACTTCTTCGTAGCCCACGAATATGCCAGCGCGAGCCTTTGGATCCCACTTGAGTCGATTCTCTTTAGGCGTCAGTATGTATGTCTGACACCCGAATGTTCGCATGTGCTTGACGCTTGGTTTCAAGTTGTAGACGATCTCAAACGGGGTCTTGTGCACGACTTTAGGTGACGGCAGTCGATTCTTGACGTAGATGGCCGTCATCGCTGCTTCGGCCCAGAAACACTTGTCCAGTTTGGCATGATGAAGCATGCTGCGGCCGATCGTGACAATAGTCCTAATGGCACGCTCTGCTGTTCCGTTTGTTTGATGTGCATACGGCACCGTTGTCTGCTGTTCAATGCCTTCGTCTTCGTAGAACAGTTGAAGCGAGTTGGTTGCAAACTCGCGAGCTCCGTCGTGTCGCACGAACTTGACCTTCTTACAGAATTGCGTCTGTACCATGGTGATATATTTCCGGATGTAGTCTTCACTCTCGGACTTCACTCGTAGACAAAAGCCCTTCATGCCTCCACTGGCTTCGTCGATGATCAGCAGCAAATATTTGCTGCCACCGAGCGAATCCTTTTCCATGGGCCCGCAGATGTCCAGATGAAGTAGCTCAAACGTATCGTAGCTGCGCTTGTCTCGGTTGCTTGGAAATGGTTTTTGGACCATTTTCCCTTGTTGACATCCTCGACATGTAGTTGCTCCACCCGACTTGAGAGGGACTCGCACATCCTTGATCATGTTGGTCGCGATCATCTTGCGAAGTACATCGACTGGAGCATGACCCATTCTCGCATGTAGATCGGCACAACTGGTTCCACTTGTTGTCACATTCGCTGATCGTTGAGTCGTCCGAAGCCAGTAGAGTCCATCCACGAGATCCGCTGTCGCCACCACTTGCTGTGAGTTCTTGAGAGTCACATACATCTTGGACCCGTCAAACACGACTTGAAACTTGCCATGGCTGTTAATCTGTGGCACCGAGAGCAGGTTCTTGCTCATACTTGGAACATATAGCGCGTTCTTGATTTCGATCTCACGCTCTTCACCGTTGGGCAGAACCACCTTTTCCATGATGGTTCCCACACCCTTGATGGCCACCTTGTTGCCATCAGCCACCAAAGTTCGCCCTCATTGCGCTCTGCCAAACTTGCGAACTTGGTCTTGTCGTGGCAAATGTGGTGCGTTGCACCACTGTCGACGGCCCACATTCCAGACACGTCCTTGCTCGTCGAAACTCCACATTCGAACGAGACTGCAAACGCCACTCGATCGTAGCCATTGCCTTCATCATGATGTCCCCACTGGACATTGTTAGCCCCCGCGTCCACGACCATTGCCGCCGCGTCGGGCTCCCCGACCTTCGTTCTTCTGCTTTGTCCAGCAACGATCCACCGTGTGTCCCACCTTGCCACAATACGTGCATTGGTAGGGCTCACGCTCGGCGCTGAATGCCTTGCTTGCATCTTCAGCCTTCACCGTAGTCGCTGTCGTTGTCCCTTTTTCTCCTTGACGCTTGGCATGCTCATTCGTCAAGGACTCTCACCACATCTTGAGTGCGAAGCTCGGTGCTGCTCATTTCCATGTTGAGCACCACATTTTCGTAGCTCTTCGGAAGACTGAGTAGCAGACAAATTGCAACGTCTTCGTCTTCCATCTTCGCACCGATGCCGCTAAGCTTGGCGGAGATGTTGAGGACCTCGTTGCAGTGATGCATGACGTTCGCGCCTTCAGCCATCTTGATACTGAAAAGTTGCCGCTTGAGGTAGATGCGTCCCGCCTTCTGCGACCCACCGTACAGCGTCTTCAGACTTGTCCACGCAACCCAGGCTTCCTCGCAGTTGTCCAGCACATGATGGTAGTCCGCGTTCATGTGCAGCAGCATCATACCAAACGCGACGTTGCTTGCCTTGACGTAGTCATCGGACGCTCGCGGGTCGGTGAAAGTCGGAGTCACTTCACGGTTGACGACGTGCCAGACGGACTTCGTCAAAAACACACCGCGCATGTACCGGCTCCACGTTGCGTAATTGTCTCCGTTGAACTTGTCAATGGAGGCGTTGCTGGTGGACGACATGGCGCTTGGGCTCATAACCTGTTGCATTGTAGATCGGAGCGAGGAAAGCGGAGCAAACGGAGCGGAGAGACCGAAGAGAGTAGAGCAGAAAACACTTGCCCAATAGTTGGAAGATTCGAAAGTGATTGATTATCGGGGCTTACTACTTACTACATGATTTATATGTGGTGTACATATAAATCATGTGAAGCGTCTCATCATCCTACGCGTCTAATCAACTATGGTAATTACCGTAAGAACTACGTCGTAAATACTAAGCTGAACAGGCGGTTCGGATTGGATCGGTCACGGTTACCAATACTGGTAGAAAACCGATGACCGTCAACAAGGTCATCCGGCGCACTTGACTCTTCCAATCCGGGTCGTTGGCGCACTGCTCGGGGCATGCTTGCGTCGTCATTGTCGTGACTGGGTTGGGCCTTGCGCTTTCCTGTTTGTTTGAAGTGTCTCGGACGCGGTTCTTCATCATCAAGATCGATCGATTCGAAGTCCAGGCCATCAACATCGTCATCGGAAATCATCATCGACATTCCAAAGGCCGACTCATCGAAGTTGACATCGCGACTTATCATCACCTGCCCCGCTTCGATGTCGTAAACTCGATACGCCTTGGACACTTCTTCGTAGCCCAAAAACAATCCAGCCCGGGCCTTGGGATCCCACTTGAGTCGTTTCTCCTTCGGGGTCAAGATGTATGCTTGGCACCCAAAAACGCGCATGTGCTTGACACTTGGCTTAGAACTGTAGACAATCTCGAACGGTGTCTTGTGTGGAATCTTGGGTGACGGCAAACGTGTTGACGGTCATCGGTTTTCTACCAGTATTGGTAACCGTGACCGATCCAATCCGAACCGCCTGTTCAGCTTAGTATTTACGACGTAGTTCTTACGGTAATTACCATAGTTGATTAGACGCGTAGGATGATGAGACGCTTCACATGATTTATATGTACACCACATATAAATCATGTAGTAAGTAGTAAGCCCCGATAATCAATCACTTTCGAATCTTCCAACTATTGGGCAAGTGTTTTCTGCTCTACTCTCTTCGGTCTCTCCGCTCCGTTCGCTCCGCTTTCCTCGCTCCGATCTACAATGCAACAGGTTATGAGCCCAAGCGCCATGTCGTCCACCAGCAACGCCTCCATTGACAAGTTCAACGGAGACAATTACGCAACGTGGAGCCGGTACATGCGCGGTGTGTTTTTGACGAAGTCCGTCTTGCACGTCGTCAACCGTGAAGTGACTCCGACTTTCACCGACCCGCGAGCGTCCGATGACTACGTCAAGGCAAGCAACGTCGCGTTTGGTATGATGCTGCTGCACATGAACGCGGACTACCATCATGTGCTGGACAACTGCGAGGAAGCCTGGGTTGCGTGGACAAGTCTGAAGACGCTGTACGGTGGGTCGCAGAAGGCAGGACGCATCTACCTTAAGCGACAACTTTTCAGTATCAAGATGGCTGAAGGCGCGAACGTCATGCATCACTGCAACGAGGTCCTCAACATCTCCGCCAAGCTTAGCGGCATCGGTGCGAAGATGGAAGACGAAGACGTTGCAATTTGTCTGCTACTCAGTCTTCCGAAGAGCTACGAAAATGTGGTGCTCAACATGGAAATGAGCAGCACCGAGCTTCGCACTCAAGATGTGGTGAGAGTCCTGACGAATGAGCATGCCAAGCGTCAAGGAGAAAAAGGGACAACGACAGCGACTACGGTGAAGGCTGAAGATGCAAGCAAGGCATTCAGCGCCGAGCGTGAGCCCTACCAATGCACGTATTGTGGCAAGGTGGGACACACGGTGGATCGTTGCTGGACAAAGCAGAAGAACGAAGGTCGGGGAGCCCGACGCGGCGGCAATGGTCGTGGACGCGGGGGCTAACAATGTCCAGTGGGGACATCATGATGAAGGCAATGGCTACGATCGAGTGGCGTTTGCAGTCTCGTTCGAATGTGGAGTTTCGACGAGCAAGGACGTGTCTGGAATGTGGGCCGTCGACAGTGGTGCAACGCACCACATTTGCCACGACAAGACCAAGTTCGCAAGTTTGGCAGAGCGCAATGAGGGCGAACTCTTGGTGGCTGATGGCAACAAGGTGGCCATCAAGGGTGTGGGAACCATCATGGAAAAGGTGGTTCTGCCCAACGGTGAAGAGCGTGAGATCGAAATCAAGAACGCGCTATATGTTCCAAGTATGAGCAAGAACCTGCTCTCGGTGCCACAGATTAACAGCCATGGCAAGTTTCAAGTCGTGTTTGACGGGTCCAAGATGTATGTGACTCTCAAGAACTCACAGCAAGTGGTGGCGACAGCGGATCTCGTGGATGGACTCTACTGGCTTCGGACGACTCAACGATCAGCGAATGTGACAACAAGTGGAACCAGTTGTGCCGATCTACATGCGAGAATGGGTCATGCTCCAGTCGATGTACTTCGCAAGATGATCGCGACCAACATGATCAAGGATGTGCGAGTCCCTCTCAAGTCGGGTGGAGCAACTACATGTCGAGGATGTCAACAAGGGAAAATGGTCCAAAAACCATTTCCAAGCAACCGAGACAAGCGCAGCTACGATACGTTTGAGCTACTTCATCTGGACATCTGCGGGCCCATGGAAAAGGATTCGCTCGGTGGCAGCAAATATTTGCTGCTGATCATCGACGAAGCCAGTGGAGGCATGAAGGGCTTTTGTCTACGAGTGAAGTCCGAGAGTGAAGACTACATCCGGAAATATATCACCATGGTACAGACGCAATTCTGTAAGAAGGTCAAGTTCGTGCGACACGACGGAGCTCGCGAGTTTGCAACCAACTCGCTTCAACTGTTCTACGAAGACGAAGGCATTGAACAGCAGACAACGGTGCCGTATGCACATCAAACAAACGGAACAGCAGAGCGTGCCATTAGGACTATTGTCACGATCGGCCGCAGCATGCTTCATCATGCCAAACTGGACAAGTGTTTCTGGGCCGAAGCAGCGATGACGGCCATCTACGTCAAGAATCGACTGCCGTCACCTAAAGTCGTGCACAAGACCCCGTTTGAGATCGTCTACAACTTGAAACCAAGCGTCAAGCACATGCGAACATTCGGGTGTCAGACATACATACTGACGCCTAAAGAGAATCGACTCAAGTGGGATCCAAAGGCTCGCGATGGCATATTCGTGGGCTACGAAGAAGTTTCGAAGGCATATCGTGTTTATGACATCGAGGCGGGGCAGGTGGTTATCAGCCGCGATGTCAACTTCGACGAGTCCACCTTTGGACTTCAACTGCCGATCACTGATGAAGATGTCGATGACCTGGACTTCGAATTGCTGGATCTTGATGACGAAGAGCTGCGTCAAATGGAGTACAAGCAAACAGGCAAGCGCAAGAACCGACTCAATGATGAAGATACAGCAGCTCCACGACCGCGTGCAGTGCGTCAACGACCAGGACTAGAAGAGTCAAGCGCGCCGGAAAACAACTCGTCACGACAAGAAGAAGACGAAGAAACGAAGGATTCTGGTGATTCAACACCGCCTGTGTTTTGGCGTGCGAGTGCAAATGCCGTTGAAGCAGCAGTGGACTTATCAGAACCCTCAACATTTGAAGCAGCAGTAAGCGGCCCTGACCAAGTGCACTGGAGAAAAGCAATTCATGCAGAGCTCGAGTCAATGCGACTTCGCGGTGTGTTTCGTGCAGCCAAGCTGCCCAACGGACAACGCGCCATTGGCACAAAATGGGTGTTCAAGATCAAGCGCAAGGCGGATGGGTCAATCGAGAAGTACAAGGCACGACTTGTGGCCAAGGGTTTCCGCCAAAAGTATGGCATCGACTACACGGAGACGTTTTCGCCTGTGGTCAAGTATGTGACGCTGCGAATGGTGATCGCAATTTCCAAGCATTTTGGATGGCCCATCGACCAGCTTGATGTGGTGACAGCTTTCCTGTATGGCGTCATGAAGGAACAAGTGTTCTGCGTGATTCCTGAAGGCGTCGAACTTGACAGTACGTTCGACTGCCTGGAATTGGTGAAGTCAATTTACGGCCTCAAGCAAGCGTCGCGAGTGTGGAACGAGACGTTCGACGAGTATGTGTGCTCCATCGGATTTCAAGTATCGGACTTCGACCCATGTCTCTACATCAAGACTTCGGACGGCCATTGCGTGTTTATACTGGTCTACGTGGACGACGTCTTGGTGACTGGAAGCTCGCTCGAGCTGATTGCACAAACCAAGAACGACCTGAAGACGCGGTTCGAAATGACGGACAGCGGCAAGTGTGCGTTTGTTCTTGGGATCGAGCTTTTGGACGGTGAAGATGGCAGTGTGACACTATGTCAGCGTCGGTATGTCGATGATATCCTCAAGCGCTTTGGCATGGATGATTGCAAGGCAGTCGCAAGTCCAGTCGACATGAGCTCTCGACTTGTTTCAAGTGATGCAACTACCAAGGTCGATGCTCCTTTTCGCGAAGCTGTTGGTGCGTTGATGCACCTGACCACTGCAACGCGTCCGGACATTGCGTTTGCTGTGGGCTATGTGTCGCGGTTCATGGAAAATCCCCAAGAAGAACACTGGGTTGCAGTTAAGCGTATCTTTCGCTACCTACAAGGCACCAAGACGCATGGAATTTGCTACAAGCCAAGTGCAAGGATCGACTTCCGTGGATATTCGGATGCGGATTGGGCTGGTGATCTTACCGACCGCAAGTCAACATCGGGGTACACGTTCATGCTACTCGGTGCGCCAGTCAGTTGGGGCAGCAAGAAGCAGCCAAGTGTTTCGTTGTCCACGAGTGAAGCCGAATACATCGCACTCAGCTTGGCGATTCAAGAGGGCAAGTGGATTCATCGTCTGCTTTGTGAGATCGTGATGGCTGCCAATGAAGAAGGACCGGAACTCATGATCCATGAAGACAATCAGTCGTGTATCAAGATGACGAAGAACCCAGTCAACCACGGCCGTGCCAAGCACATTGATATCAAGTACCATCACATCCGTGATGAGGTCAAGCGCGGTGAAGTGAAGCTCAAGTACTGTGAAACTGCGGTGATGTTAGCGGACATCATGACGAAGGGACTTCACGGGCCACGCCACAAGGAGATGACGGCGACTCTCGGGATTCGTGAGCATTCGGATTGAGGGGGCGTGTTGACGGTCATCGGTTTTCTACCAGTATTGGTAACCGTGACCGATCCAATCCGAACCGCCTGTTCAGCTTAGTATTTACGACGTAGTTCTTACGGTAATTACCATAGTTGATTAGACGCGTAGGATGATGAGACGCTTCACATGATTTATATGTACACCACATATAAATCATGTAGTAAGTAGTAAGCCCCGATAATCAATCACTTTCGAATCTTCCAACTATTGGGCAAGTGTTTTCTGCTCTACTCTCTTCGGTCTCTCCGCTCCGTTTGCTCCGCTTTCCTCGCTCCGATCTACATTGCAACAAAACGGTTCTTCACATAGACGGCCGTCATTGCCGCTTCAGCCCAGAAGCACTTGTCCAACTTGGCATGATGGAGCATGCTACGACCGATGGTGACGATAGTTCGAATCGCGCGTTCAGCAGTTCCATTGGCTTGATGTGCGTATGGCACCGTGGTTTGTTGCTCGATGCCTTCGACTTCGTAGAAATCTTGAAGCGAGTTCGTCGCAAACTCGCGGGCTCCATCGTGTCGCACAAATTTGACCTTCTTGTTGAACTGCGTCTGTATCATCGTGATGTACTTCTTGATGCACTCTTCGCTCTCTGACTTGGAATGCAGACAAAAACCCTTCATGCATCCGATGGCTTCATCCACGATCAGCAGCAGATACTTGCTGCCACCCAGAGATTTTTCTTCCATGGGTCCGCAGATGTCGAAGTGGAGCATCTCGAAGGTGTTGTAGGTGCGCTTGTCACGGTTGCTCGGGAATGGTTTTTGGACCATCTTCCCTTCTTGGCATCCTCGACACACACTTGATCCATTCGGCTTGGAAGGGATGTGAGCGTCCTTGATCATGTGGCTTGTCACCATCTTGCGAAGCACGTCGACTGGAGCATGACCCATACGCGCATGTAGATCAACAGCGTTGTTGAGTGATGTCGCATTGGCCGATCGCTGCGTCGTGCGAAGCCAGTAGAGTCCGTCTACAAGATCCGCAGCTGCCACCACTTGATTGGAATCCTTGCGAGCGACGTACATCGTATCCCCGTCAAACACCACTTGGAAGTTGCCGTGCTTGTTAATCTGCGGCACCGAGAGCAGATTTTTGCTCATGCTGGGCACATAGAGCGCGTTCTTGATCTCGATCTCGCGCTCTTCCCCGTTTGGCAGAATCACCTTTTCCACGATGGTCCCCACACCTTTGGTGGCCGCCTTGTTGCCATCAGCCACCAGGATCTCGCCATCATTGCCTTCGACCAAGCTTGCAAACTTGAACTTGTCGTGGCAGATGTGATGTGTTGCCCCGCTGTCAACGGCCCACATTCCTGGTCCATTCTTGTTCGTCGAAACTCCGCATTCGAACGAAACTGCAAACGCCACTCGATCGTAGCTGTTGCCTTCATCATAATGTCGCCACTGGACATTGTTTGCCCCGCGTCCACGACCATTGCCGCCGCGTTGGGCTCCTCGACTTTCATCCTTTTGCTTCGTCCAGCAACGCTCTGCCGTGTGCCCCACCTTGCCGCAGTATGTGCATTGGTAGGGCTAACGCTCGGCGCTGAATGCCTTTGTCGCATCTTCAGTCTTCACCATTTTCGTTGCCGTTGTCATCTTCTCGCCTTGTCGCTTGATGTGCTCGTTAGTCAGCACCTTGGCCACATCTTGCGTGCGCAGCTCTGCATTGCTCATCTCCAAGTTCAGAACCACGTTCTCGAAACTCTTCGGGAGACTGAGCAGCAAGCAGATCGCAATGTCTTCGTCTTCCATCTTGGCACCGATGCTGCTGAGCTTGGCGCCGATGTTCAAGACTTCGTTGCAATGGTGCAAGACGTTGGCACCTTCCGTCATCTTGATGCTGAACAGCTGGCGCTTGAGGTAGATGCGTCCCGCCTTCTGCGACCCACCATAGAGCATCTTCAACCGCGACCACGCTGTCCATGCTTCTTCACAGTTGTCGACCACATGGTGGTAGTCGGCGTCCATGTGGAGCAACATCAACCCGAACGCGATGTTGCTCGCCTTGACGTACTCGTCGGAAGCTCGCGTGTCGGTGAAGGTTGGAGACGTTTCGCGGTTCACGACGTACCAGACTGACTTCGTCAGAAACACGCCGCGCATGTAGCGACACCAGGTTGAGTAGTTGTCCCCATCGAACTTATCGATGGAGACACTGGCCGAGGTGTTGTTGGACGACATGGCGCTTGGGCTCATAACCTGTTGTAACTTGAGCGCGAGGCGAAGAGAAAACGAAGCGGAGAGACCGGAGAGAACGAAGCAGAGAACACTTGCTCACTTGAGGGAGGATTCGAAAGTGATTGATTTATAGGTCTTAACTTCTGCCTACCCTAGACTGCATCCAATCACATGGTGCATCTAATCAACCTGATTTACACGCGTCCAATCATCCTACGCGTCTAATCATCTCTGAGGTAATTACCGATGTAAAAACTATCTCGTAAGAACTACGCGCTAGGTTCGGATTGTACCGGTAACCCTCAATAAGCCCACATTCCATACACGTCCTTGCTCGTCGAAACTCCACATTCGAACGAGACTGCAAACGCCACTCGATCGTAGCCATTGCCTTCATCATGATGTCCCCACTGGACATTGTTAGCCCCCGCGTCCACGACCATTGCCGCCGCGTCGGGCTCCCCGACCTTCGTTCTTCTGCTTTGTCCAGCAACGATCCACCGTGTGTCCCACCTTGCCACAATACGTGCATTGGTAGGGCTCACGCTCGGCGCTGAATGCCTTGCTTGCATCTTCAGCCTTCACCGTAGTCGCTGTCGTTGTCCCTTTTGATCCTTGACGCTTGGCATGCTCATTCGTCAGGACTCTCACCACATCTTGAGTGCGAAGCTCGGTGCTGCTCATTTCCATGTTAAGCACCACATTTTCGTAGCTCTTCGGAAGACTGAGTAGCAGACAAATTGCAACGTCTTCGTCTTCCATCTTCGCACCGATGCCGCTAAGCTTGGCGGAGATGTTGAGGACCTCGTTGCAGCGATGCATGACGTTCGCGCCTTCAGCCATCTTGATACTGAAAAGTTGTCGCTTGAGGTAGATGCGTCCTGCCTTCTGCGACCCACCGTACAGCGTCTTCAGACCTGTCCACGCAACCCAGGCTTCCTCGCAGTTGTCCAGCACATGATGGTAGTCCGCGTTCATGTGCAGCAGCATCATACCAAACGCGACGTTGCTTGCCTTGACGTAGTCATCGGACGCTCGCGGGTCGGTGAAAGTCGGAGTCACTTCACGGTTGACGACGTGCAAGACGGACTTCGTCAAAAACACACCGCGCATGTACCGGCTCCACGTTGCGTAATTGTCTCCGTTGAACTTGTCAATGGAGGCGTTGCTGGTGGACGACATGGCGCTTGGGCTCATAACCTGTTGCATTGTAGATCGGAGCGAGGAAAGCAGAGCAAACGGAGCGGAGAGACCGAAGAGAGTAGAGCAGAAAACACTTGCCCAATAGTTGGAAGATTCGAAAGTGATTGATTATCGGGGCTTACTACTTACTACATGATTTATATGTGGTGTACATATAAATCATGTGAAGCGTCTCATCATCCTACGCGTCTAATCAACTATGGTAATTACCGTAAGAACTACGTCGTAAATACTAAGCTGAACAGGCGGTTCGGATTGGATCGGTCACGGTTACCAATACTGGTAGAAAACCGATGACCGTCAACAAGGTCATCCGGCGCACTTGACTCTTCCAATCCGGGTCGTTGGCGCACTGCTCGGGGCATGCTTGCGTCGTCATTGTCGTGACTGGGTTGGGCCTTGCGCTTTCCTGTTTGTTTGAAGTGTCTCGGACGCGGTTCTTCATCATCAAGATCGATCGATTCGAAGTCCAGGCCATCAACATCGTCATCGGAAATCATCATCGACATTCCAAAGGCCGATTCATCGAAGTTGACATCGCGACTTATCATCACCTGCCCCGCTTCGATGTCGTAAACTCGATACGCCTTGGACACTTCTTCGTAGCCCAAAAACAATCCAGCCCGGGCCTTGGGATCCCACTTGAGTCGTTTCTCCTTCGGGGTCAAGATGTATGCTTGGCACCCAAAAACGCGCATGTGCTTGACACTTGGCTTAGAACTGTAGACAATCTCGAACGGTGTCTTGTGTGGAATCTTGGGTGACGGCAAACGTGTTGACGGTCATCGGTTTTCTACCAGTATTGGTAACCGTGACCGATCCAATCCGAACCGCCTGTTCAGCTTAGTATTTACGACGTAGTTCTTACGGTAATTACCATAGTTGATTAGACGCGTAGGATGATGAGACGCTTCACATGATTTATATGTACACCACATATAAATCATGTAGTAAGTAGTAAGCCCCGATAATCAATCACTTTCGAATCTTCCAACTATTGGGCAAGTGTTTTCTGCTCTACTCTCTTCGGTCTCTCCGCTCCGTTCGCTCCGCTTTCCTCGCTCCGATCTACAATGCAACAGGTTATGAGCCCAAGCGCCATGTCGTCCACCAGCAACGCCTCCATTGACAAGTTCAACGGAGACAATTACGCAACGTGGAGCCGGTACATGCGCGGTGTGTTTTTGACGAAGTCCGTCTTGCACGTCGTCAACCGTGAAGTGACTCCGACTTTCACCGACCCGCGAGCGTCCGATGACTACGTCAAGGCAAGCAACGTCGCGTTTGGTATGATGCTGCTGCACATGAACGCGGACTACCATCATGTGCTGGACAACTGCGAGGAAGCCTGGGTTGCGTGGACAAGTCTGAAGACGCTGTACGGTGGGTCGCAGAAGGCAGGACGCATCTACCTCAAGCGACAACTTTTCAGTATCAAGATGGCTGAAGGCGCGAACGTCATGCATCACTGCAACGAGGTCCTCAACATCTCCGCCAAGCTTAGCGGCATCGGTGCGAAGATGGAAGACGAAGACGTTGCAATTTGTCTGCTACTCAGTCTTCCGAAGAGCTACGAAAATGTGGTGCTCAACATGGAAATGAGCAGCACCGAGCTTCGCACTCAAGATGTGGTGAGAGTCCTGACGAATGAGCATGCCAAGCGTCAAGGAGAAAAAGGGACAACGACAGCGACTACGGTGAAGGCTGAAGATGCAAGCAAGGCATTCAGCGCCGAGCGTGAGCCCTACCAATGCACGTATTGTGGCAAGGTGGGACACACGGTGGATCGTTGCTGGACAAAGCAGAAGAACGAAGGTCGGGGAGCCCGACGCGGCGGCAATGGTCGTGGACGCGGGGCTAACAATGTCCAGTGGGGACATCATGATGAAGGCAATGGCTACGATCGAGTGGCGTTTGCAGTCTCGTTCGAATGTGGAGTTTCGACGAGCAAGGACGTGTCTGGAATGTGGGCCGTCGACAGTGGTGCAACGCACCACATTTGCCACGACAAGACCAAGTTCGCAAGTTTGGCAGAGCGCAATGAGGGCGAACTCTTGGTGGCTGATGGCAACAAGGTGGCCATCAAGGGTGTGGGAACCATCATGGAAAAGGTGGTTCTGCCCAACGGTGAAGAGCGTGAGATCGAAATCAAGAACGCGCTATATGTTCCAAGTATGAGCAAGAACCTGCTCTCGGTGCCACAGATTAACAGCCATGGCATGTTCCAAGTCGTGTTTGACGGGTCCAAGATGTATGTGACTCTCAAGAACTCACAGCAAGTGGTGGCGACAGCGGATCTCGTGGATGGACTCTACTGGCTTCGGACGACTCAACGATCAGCGAATGTGACAACAAGTGGAACCAGTTGTGCCGATCTACATGCGAGAATGGGTCATGCTCCAGTCGATGTACTTCGCAAGATGATCGCGACCAACATGATCAAGGATGTGCGAGTCCCTCTCAAGTCGGGTGGAGCAACTACATGTCGAGGATGTCAACAAGGGAAAATGGTCCAAAAACCATTTCCAAGCAACCGAGACAAGCGCAGCTACGATACGTTTGAGCTACTTCATCTGGACATCTGCGGGCCCATGGAAAAGGATTCGCTCGGTGGCAGCAAATATTTGCTGCTGATCATCGACGAAGCCAGTGGATGCATGAAGGGCTTTTGTCTACGAGTGAAGTCCGAGAGTGAAGACTACATCCGGAAATATATCACCATGGTACAGACGCAATTCTGTTAGAAGGTCAAGTTCGTGCGACACGACGGAGCTTGCGAGCTCGCAACCAACTCGCTTCAAGATTTCTACGAGGATGAAGGCATTGAACAGCAGACGACGGTGCCGTATGCACACCAGAACAACGGAACAGCAATCGCGCCATCGGGACTATCGTCACGATCGGCCGCAGCATGCTTCACCATGCCAAGTTGGACAAGTGCTTCTGGGCTGAATTAGCAATGACGGTCATCTACGTCAAGAATCGCCTACCGTCACCAAAAATGTGCATAAGACCCCGTTTGAGATCGTGTACAACTCCAAGCGAAGTTTCAAGCACATGCGAGTATTCGGCTGTCAGACATTTATACTGACTCCTAAAGAGAATCGACTCAAGTGGGATCCAAAGGCTCGCGCTGGCATATTCGTGGGCTACGAAGAAGTGTCCAAGGCATATCGTGTATTTGACATTGAGGCGGGGCAGGTGGTTATCAGCCGCGATGTCAACTTCGACGAGTCCACCTTTGGACTTCAACTGCCGATCACTGATGAAGATGTCGATGACCTGGACTTCGAATTGCTGGATCTTGATGACGAAGAGCTGCGTCAAATGGAGTATCAGCAAACTGGCAAGCGCAAGAATCGACTCAATGAGGAAGATACAGCAGCTCCACGACCGCGTGCAGTGCGTCAACGACCAGGACTAGAAGAGTCAAGCGCGCCGGAAAACAACTCGTCACGACAAGAAGAAGACGAAGAAACGAAGGATTCTGGTGATTCAACACCGCCTGTGTTTTGGCGTGCGAGTGCAAATGCCGTTGAAGCAGCAGTGGACTTATCAGAACCCTCAACATTTGAAGCAGCAGTAAGCGGCCCTGACCAAGTGCACTGGAGAAAAGCAATTCATGCAGAGCTCGAGTCAATGCGACTTCGCGGTGTGTTTCGTGCAGCCAAGCTGCCCAACGGACAACGCGCCATTGGCACAAAATGGGTGTTCAAGATCAAGCGCAAGGCGGATGGGTCAATCGAGAAGTACAAGGCACGACTTGTGGCCAAGGGTTTCCGCCAAAAGTATGGCATCGACTACACGGAGACGTTTTCGCCTGTGGTCAAGTATGTGACGCTGCGAATGGTGATCGCAATTTCCAAGCATTTTGGATGGCCCATCGACCAGCTTGATGTGGTGACAGCTTTCCTGTATGGCGTCATGAAGGAACAAGTGTTCTGCGTGATTCCTGAAGGCGTCGAACTTGACAGTACGTTCGACTGCCTGGAATTGGTGAAGTCAATTTACGGCCTCAAGCAAGCGTCGCGAGTGTGGAACGAGACGTTCGACGAGTATGTGTGCTCCATCGGATTTCAAGTATCGGACTTCGACCCATGTCTCTACATCAAGACTTCGGACGGCCATTGCGTGTTTATACTGGTCTACGTGGACGACGTCTTGGTGACTGGAAGCTCGCTCGAGCTGATTGCACAAACCAAGAACGACCTGAAGACGCGGTTCGAAATGACGGACAGCGGCAAGTGTGCGTTTGTTCTTGGGATCGAGCTTTTGGACGGTGAAGATGGCAGTGTGACACTATGTCAGCGTCGGTATGTCGATGATATCCTCAAGCGCTTTGGCATGGATGATTGCAAGTCCAGTCGACATGAGCTCTCGACTTGTTTCAAGTGATGCAACTACCAAGGTCGATGCTCCTTTTCGCGAAGCTGTTGGTGCGTTGATGCACCTGACCACTGCAACGCGTCCGGACATTGCGTTTGCTGTGGGCTATGTGTCGCGGTTCATGGAAATCCCCAAGAAGAACACTGGGTTGCAGTTAAGCGTATCTTTCGCTACCTACAAGGCACCAAGACGCATGGAATTTGATACAAGCCAAGTGCAAGGATCGACTTCCGTGGATATTCGGATGCGGATTGGGCTGGTGATCTTACCGACCGCAAGTCAACATCGGGGTACACGTTCATGCTACTCGGTGCGCCAGTCAGTTGGGGCAGCAAGAAGCAGCCAAGTGTTTCGTTGTCCACGAGTGAAGCCGAATACATCGCACTCAGCTTGGCGATTCAAGAGGGCAAGTGGATTCATCGTCTGCTTTGTGAGATCTTGATGGCTGCCAATGAAGAAGGACCGGAACTCATGATCCATGAAGACAATCAGTCGTGTATCAAGATGACGAAGAACCCAGTCAACCACGGCCGTGCCAAGCACATTGATATCAAGTACCATCACATCCGTGATGAGGTCAAGCGCGGTGAAGTGAAGCTCAAGTACTGTGAAACTGCGGTGATGTTAGCGGACATCATGACGAAGGGACTTCACGGGCCACGCCACAAGGAGATGACGGCGACTCTCGGGATTCGTGAGCATTCGGATTGAGGGGGCGTGTTGACGGTCATCGGTTTTCTACCAGTATTGGTAACCGTGACCGATCCAATCCGAACCGCCTGTTCAGCTTAGTATTTACGACGTAGTTCTTACGGTAATTACCATAGTTGATTAGACGCGTAGGATGATGAGACGCTTCACATGATTTATATGTACACCACATATAAATCATGTAGTAAGTAGTAAGCCCCGATAATCAATCACTTTCGAATCTTCCAACTATTGGGCAAGTGTTTTCTGCTCTACTCTCTTCGGTCTCTCCGCTCCGTTTGCTCCGCTTTCCTCGCTCCGATCTACATTGCAACAAAACGGTTCTTCACATAGACGGCCGTCATTGCCGCTTCAGCCCAGAAGCACTTGTCCAACTTGGCATGATGGAGCATGCTACGACCGATGGTGACGATAGTTCGAATCGCGCGTTCAGCAGTTCCATTGGCTTGATGTGCGTATGGCACCGTGGTTTGTTGCTCGATGCCTTCGACTTCGTAGAAATCTTGAAGCGAGTTCGTCGCAAACTCGCGGGCTCCATCGTGTCGCACAAATTTGACCTTCTTGTTGAACTGCGTCTGTATCATCGTGATGTACTTCTTGATGCACTCTTCGCTCTCTGACTTGGAATGCAGACAAAAACCCTTCATGCATCCGCTGGCTTCATCCACGATCAGCAGCAGATACTTGCTGCCACCCAGAGATTTTTCTTCCATGGGTCCGCAGATGTCGAAGTGGAGCATCTCGAAGGTGTTGTAGGTGCGCTTGTCACGGTTGCTCGGGAATGGTTTTTGGACCATCTTCCCTTCTTGGCATCCTCGACACACACTTGATCCATTCGGCTTGGAAGGGATGTGAGCGTCCTTGATCATGTGGCTTGTCACCATCTTGCGAAGTACGTCGACTGGAGCATGGCCCATTCGCGCATGTAGATCAACAGCGTTGTTGAGTGATGTCGCATTGGCCGATCGCTGCGTCGTGCGAAGCCAGTAGAGTCCGTCTACAAGATCCGCAGCTGCCACCACTTGATTGGAATCCTTGCGAGCGACGTACATCGTATCCCCGTCAAACACCACTTGGAAGTTGCCGTGCTTGTTAATCTGCGGCACCGAGAGCAGATTTTTGCTCATGCTGGGCACATAGAGCGCGTTCTTGATCTCGATCTCGCGCTCTTCCCCGTTTGGCAGAATCACCTTTTCCACGATGGTCCCCACACCTTTGATGGCCGCCTTGTTGCCATCAGCCACCAGGATCTCGCCATCATTGCCTTCGACCAAGCTTGCAAACTTGAACTTGTCGTGGCAGATGTGATGTGTTGCCCCGCTGTCAACGGCCCACATTCCTGGTCCATTCTTGTTCGTCGAAACTCCGCATTCGAACGAAACTGCAAACGCCACTCGATCGTAGCTGTTGCCTTCATCATAATGTCGCCACTGGACATTGTTTGCCCCGCGTCCACGACCATTGCCGCCGCGTTGGGCTCCTCGACTTTCATCCTTTTGCTTCGTCCAGCAACGCTCTGCCGTGTGCCCCACCTTGCCGCAGTATGTGCATTGGTAGGGCTTGCGCTCGGTACTGAATGCCTTTGTCGCATCTTCAGTCTTCACCATTTTCGTTGCCGTTGTCATCTTCTCGCCTTGTCGCTTGATGTGCTCGTTAGTCAGCACCTTGACCACATCTTGCGTGCGCAGCTCTGCATTGCTCATCTCCAAGTTCAGAACCACGTTCTCGAAACTCTTCGGGAGACTGAGCAGCAAGCAGATCGCAATGTCTTAGTCTTCCATCTTGGCACCGATGCTGCTGAGCTTGGCGCCGATGTTCAAGACTTCGTTGCAATGGTGCAAGACGTTGGCACCTTCCGTCATCTTGATGCTGAACAGCTGGCGCTTGAGGTAGATGCGTCCCGCCTTCTGCGACCCACCATAGAGCATCTTCAACCGCGACCACGCTGTCCATGCGTCTTCACAGTTGTCGACCACATGGTGGTAGTCGGCGTCCATGTGGAGCAACATCAACCCGAACGCGATGTTGCTCGCCTTGACGTACTCGTCGGAAGCTCGCGTGTCGGTGAAGGTTGGAGACGTTTCGCGGTTCACGACGTACCAGACTGACTTCGTCAGAAACACGCCGCGCATGTAGCGACACCAGGTTGAGTAGTTGTCCCCATCGAACTTATCGATGGAGACACTGGCCGAGGTGTTGTTGGACGACATGGCGCTTGGGCTCATAACCTGTTGTAACTTGAGCGCGAGGCGAAGAGAAAACGAAGCGGAGAGACCGGAGAGAACGAAGCAGAGAACACTTGCTCACTTGAGGGAGGATTCGAAAGTGATTGATTTATAGGTCTTAACTTCTGCCTACCCTAGACTGCATCCAATCACATGGTGCATCTAATCAACCTGATTTACACGCGTCCAATCATCCTACGCGTCTAATCATCTCTGAGGTAATTACCGATGTAAAAACTATCTCGTAAGAACTACGCGCTAGGTTCGGATTGTACCGGTAACCCTCAATAAGCCCACATTCCATACACGTCCTTGCTCGTCGAAACTCCACATTCGAACGAGACTGCAAACGCCACTCGATCGTAGCCATTGCCTTCATCATGATGTCCCCACTGGACATTGTTAGCCCCGCGTCCACGACCATTGCCGCCGCGTCGGGCTCCCCCGACCTTCGTTCTTCTGCTTTGTCCAGCAACGATCCACCGTGTGTCCCACCTTGCCACAATACGTGCATTGGTAGGGCTCACGCTCGGCGCTGAATGCCTTGCTTGCATCTTCAGCCTTCACCGTAGTCGCTGTCGTTGTCCCTTTTGCTCCTTGACGCTTGGCATGCTCATTCGTCAGGACTCTCACCACATCTTGAGTGCGAAGCTCGGTGCTGCTCATTTCCATGTTAAGCACCACATTTTCGTAGCTCTTCGGAAGACTGAGTAGCAGACAAATTGCAACGTCTTCGTCTTCCATCTTCGCACCGATGCCGCTAAGCTTGGCGGAGATGTTGAGGACCTCGTTGCAGTGATGCATGACGTTCGCGCCTTCAGCCATCTTGGTGCTGAAAAGTTGTCGCTTGAGGTAGATGAGTCCTGCCTTCTGCGACCCACCGTACAGCGTCTTCAGACCTGTCCACGCAACCCAGGCTTCCTCGCAGTTGTCCAGCACATGATGGTAGTCCGCGTTCATGTGCAGCAGCATCATACCAAACGCGACGTTGTGCCTTGACGTAGTCATCGGACGCTCGCGGGTCGGTGGAAGTCGGAGTCACTTCACGGTTGACGACGTGCCAGACGGACTGCGTCAAAAACACACCGCGCATGTACCGGCTCCACGTTGCGTAATTGTCTCCGTTGAACTTGTCAATGGAGGCGTTGCTGGTGGACGACATGGCGCTTGGGCTCATAACCTGTTGCATTGTAGATCGGAGCGAGGAAAGCGGAGCGAACGGAGCGGAGAGACCGAAGAGAGTAGAGCAGAAAACACTTGCCCAATAGTTGGAAGATTCGAAAGTGATTGATTATCGGGGCTTACTACTTACTACATGATTTATATGTGGTGTACATATAAATCATGTGAAGCGTCTCATCATCCTACGCGTCTAATCAACTATGGTAATTACCGTAAGAACTACGTCGTAAATACTAAGCTGAACAGGCGGTTCGGATTGGATCGGTCACGGTTACCAATACTGGTAGAAAACCGATGACCGTCAACATGCTTGTAGACGGTTTGACGCACGTCGTCCTCGTTGATTGCCAGGAGTTCGAGGTCCAACTCTGCATCTTTATCATCGTCACTTGGTCGGTCCATCGAAAAGTCAAAAGTCGATTCGTCGAAGGTGATATCACGACTGATCACCACTTGGCCCGCCTCAATGTAGTACACTCGATGAGCTTTTGACGCTTCTTCGTAGCCCATGAACATCCCTTCACGAGCCTTCGGGTCCCACTTCAATCGCTTCTCCCTTGGTGTCAGGATAAACGCCCGACATCCAAACACGCGCATGTGCTTGACACTTGGTTTCGACTTGTACACGATCTCGAACGGAGTCTTGCGGTCGTTTTTGGGTGAAGGCAGGCGGTTCTTGATGTAGATCGCCGTCATTGCCGCTTCAGCCCAGAAACACTTCTCCAGCTTTGCATGATGCAACAAGCTGCGTCCGATCGTGACGATGGTCCTTATCGCGCGTTCTGCGGTGCCGTTGGTCTGGTGTGCATACGGCACCGTGACCTGTTGTTCGATACCATTATCTTTGTAGAAGGTCTTGATGGAGTTGGTCGCAAACTCATGCGCTCCATCGTGCCGAACAAACTTGATCTTTGTGTCGAACTGAGTTTGAATCTTGATAATGTGGTTCTTGATACAGTCTTCACTCTCAGACTTGGACCGCAGACAGAAGCCCTTCATGCAACCGCTGGCTTCATCAACCACAAGCAGTCAGTATCTGCTGCCGCCGATCGAGACTTGTTCCATTGGCCCGCAGATGTCGAAGTGCAGCAACTCGAACACACCATATTGGCGTTTGTCACGGTTGGTTGGGAATGGTTTTTGGACCATCTTTCCTTGCTGGCAACCGCGACACACACTTGGACCAGTCGAGTTGAGAGGTACCTTGGCGTCCTTGATCATGCCAGTGGCCACCATCTTGCGCAGAACTTCGAGGGGTGCATGACCCATGCGCGCATGCAAGTCGATAGTCCCATTGCGTGTTGCTGCATTTGCCGATCGTTGAGGAGTCCGCAGCCAGTAAAGTCCATCGACGAGATCCGCTGTTGCCACGACTTGTGTGGAATTCTTGCGCTTCACTTGCATCTTGGACCCATCGAACACGACTTGGAACCTGCCACCCTTGTTGATCTGTGGCACCGAAAGCAGGTTCTTGCTCATACTTGGTACGAACAGTGCGTCCTTGATCTCGATGTCGCGTTCTTCACCATTGGGCAGAACCACCCGTTCCATGATGGTTCCCACACCCTTGATCGCAGCCTTGCTGCCATCAGCCACTGATAGTTCGCCTTCCTCTCGCTCATTCAGACTTGCAAACTTGGCTTTGTCGTTGCAGATGTGATGCGTCGCACCGCTGTCGACTGCCCACATCCCTGGCATATTCTTGCCCATCGAAAGTCCAGCCTCCAGCGAAACCGCGAACGCAAGTCGATCGTAGTTGTCGTCGTTGTTATTGAGGGTTACCGGTACAATCCGAACCTAGCGCGTAGTTCTTACGAGATAGTTTTTACATCGGTAATTACCTCAGAGATGATTAGACGCGTAGGAGGATTGGACGCGTGTAAATCAGGTTGATTAGATGCACCATGTGATTGGATGCAGTCTAGGGTAGGCAGAAGTTAAGACCTATAAATCAATCACTTTCGAATCCTCCCTCAAGTGAGCAAGTGTTCTCTGCTTCGTTCTCTCCGGTCTCTCCGCTTCGTTTTCTCTTCGCCTCGCGCTCAAGTTACAACAGGTTATGAGCCCAAGCGCCATTTCGTCCAACAACACCTCGGCCAGTGTCTCCATCGATAAGTTCGATGGGGACAACTACTCAACCTGGTGTCGCTACATGCGCGGCGTGTTTCTGACGAAGTCAGTCTGGTACGTCGTGAACCGCGAAACGTCTCCAACCTTCACCGACACGCGAGCTTCCGACGAGTACGTCAAGGCGAGCAACATCGCGTTCGGGTTGATGTTGCTCCACATGGACGCCGACTACCACCATGTGGTCGACAACTGTGAAGAAGCATGGACAGCGTGGTCGCGGTTGAAGATGCTCTATGGTGGGTCGCAGAAGGCGGGACGCATCTACCTCAAGCGCCAGCTGTTCAGCATCAAGATGACGGAAGGTGCCAACGTCTTGCACCATTGCAACGAAGTCTTGAACATCGGCGCCAAGCTCAGCAGCATCGGTGCCAAGATGGAAGACGAAGACATTGCGATCTGCTTACTGCGCAGTCTGCCCAATAGTTTCGAGAACGTGGTTCTCAACTTGGAGATGAGCAATGCAGAGCTGCGCACGCAAGATGTGGTCAAGGTGCTGACTAACGAGCACATCAAGCGACAAGGCGAGAAGATGACAACGGCAACGACAACGTTGAAGACTGAAGATGCGACAAAGGCATTCAGTACCGAGCGCAAGCCCTACCAATGCACATACTGCGGCAAGGTGGGGCACACGGCAGAGCGTTGCTGGACGAAGCAAAAGGATGAAAGTCGAGGAGCCCAACGCGGCGGCAATGGTCGTCGACGCGGGTCAAACAATGTCCACTGGCGACATTATGATGAAGGCAACAGCTACGATCGAGTGGCGTTTGCAGTTTCGTTCGAATGCGGAGTTTCGACGAACAAGAATGGACCAGGAATGTGGGCCGTTGACAGCGGGGCAACACATCACACCCCCCACGACAAGTTAAATTTTTTAAAAGCTTGGTCGAAGGCAATGATGGCGAGATCCTGGTGGCTGATGGCAACAAGGCGGCCATCAAAGGTGTGGGGACCATCGTGGAAAAGGTGATTCTGCCAAACGGGGACGAGCGCGAGATCGAGATCAAGAACGCGCTCTATGTGCCCAGCATGAGCAAAAATCTGCTCGCGGTGCCCCAGATTAACAAGCACGGCAACTTCCAAGTGGTGTTTGACGGGGATACGATGTACGTCGCTCGCAAGGATTCCAATCAAGTGGTGGCAGCTGCGGATCTTGTAGACGGACTCTACTGGCTTCGCACGACGCAGCGATCGGCCAATGCGACATCACTCAACAACGCTGTTGATCTACATGCACGTATGGGTCATGCTCCAGTCGACGTGCTTCGCAAGATGGTGACAAGCCACATGATCAAAGGACGCTCACATCCCTTCCAAGCCGAATGGATCAAGTGTGTGTCGAGGATGCCAAGAAGGGAAGATGGTCCAAAAACCATTCCCGAGCAACCGTGACAAGCGCACCTACAACACCTTCGAGATGCTCCACTTCGACATCTGCGGACCCATGGAAGAAAAATCTCTGGGTGGCAGCAAGTATCTGCTGCTGATCGTGGATGAAGCCAGCGGATGCATGAAGGGTTTTTGTCTGCATTCCAAGTCAGAGAGCGAAGAGTGCATCAAGAAGTACATCACGATGATACAGACGCAATTCAACAAGAAGGTCAAATTTGTGCGACACGATGGAGCCCGCGAGTTTGCGACGAACTCGCTTCAAGATTTCTACGAAGTCGAAGGCATCGAGCAACAAACCACGGTGCCATACGCACATCAAGCCAATGGAACTGCTGAACGCGCGATTCGAACTATCGTCACCATCGGTCGTAGCATGCTCCATCATGCCAAGTTGGACAAGTGCTTCTGGGCTGAAGCGGCAATGACGGCCGTCTATGTGAAGAACCGTTTGCCGTCACCCAAGATTCCACACAAGACACCGTTCGAGATTGTCTACAATTCTAAGCCAAGTGTCAAGCACATGCGCGTTTTTGGGTGCCAAGCATACATCTTGACCCCGAAGGAGAAACGACTCAAGTGGGATCCCAAGGCCCGGGCTGGATTGTTTTTGGGCTACGAAGAAGTGTCCAAGGCGTATCGAGTTTACGACATCGAAGCGGGGCAGGTGATGATAAGTCGCGATGTCAACTTCGATGAGTCGGCCTTTGGAATGTCGATGCTGATTTCCGATGACGATGTTGATGGCCTGGACTTCGAATCGATCGATCTTGATGATGAAGAACCGCGTCCGAGACACTTCAAACAAACAGGAAAGCGCAAGGCCCAACCCAGTCACGACAATGACGACGCAAGCATGCCCCGAGCAGTGCGCCAACGACCCGGATTGGAAGAGTCAAGTGCGCCGGATGACCTCTCTTCACGTCGAGCCAACGAAGATGAAGAAAGGAAGTCGGAGGAACAACATGACACACGGACTTCCTCCGCGTTTTGGCATGCGAGTGCAAACGCCGTCGAATCAGCGGTCGATTTTTCGGAGCCATCGACATTTGAAGAAGCAGTGTCTGGCCCGGACCAAGTACACTGGCGCAAGGCAATTGATGCGGAGCTCGATTCGATGAAGCTTCGCGGTGTCTTTCGTGCGGCCAAGTTAACCAACAGACAAAGCGCCATTGGCACAAAGTGGGTCTTCAAGATCAAGCGCAAGGCGGATGGGTCGATCGAGAAATACAAGGCACGACTTGTGGCCAAGGGTTTTCGCCAAAAGTATGGCATCGACTACACGGAGACGTTCTCGCCCGTGGTCAAGTATGTGACGCTGCGAATGGTCATCGCCATTACCAAGCACTTTGGATGGCCCCTCGACCAGCTCGATGTGGTGACTGCGTTCCTGTATGGAGTGATGAAGGAGAAGGTGTTCTGCGCTGTTCCGGAAGGCGTCAAGATGGAAGGTGATTTCGACTGTCTCGAGCTGATCAAGGCGATCTACGGTCTCAAGCAAGCCTCGCGTGTTTGGAACGAGACCTTCGACGAGTTTATTGAGGGTTACCGGTACAATCCGAACCTAGCGCGTAGTTCTTACGAGATAGTTTTTACATCGGTAATTACCTCAGAGATGATTAGACGCGTAGGATGATTGGACGCGTGTAAATCAGGTTGATTAGATGCACCATGTGATTGGATGCAGTCTAGGGTAGGCAGAAGTTAAGACCTATAAATCAATCACTTTCGAATCCTCCCTCAAGTGAGCAAGTGTTCTCTGCTTCGTTCTCTCCGGTCTCTCCGCTTCGTTTTCTCTTCGCCTCGCGCTCAAATTGCAACAGGTTATGAGCCCAAGCGCCATGTCGTCCAACAACACCTCGGCCAGTGTCTCCATCGATAAGTTCGATGGGGACAACTACTCAACCTGGTGTCGCTACATGCGCGGCGTGTTTCTGACGAAGTCAGTCTGGTACGTCGTGAACCGCGAAACGTCTCCAACCTTCACCGACACGCGAGCTTCCGAAGAGTACGTCAAGGCGAGCAACATCGCGTTCGGGTTGATGTTGCTCCACATGGACGCCGACTACCACCATGTGGTCGACAACTGTGAAGAAGCATGGACAGCGTGGTCGCGGTTGAAGATGCTCTATGGTGGGTCGCAGAAGGCGGGACGCATCTACCTCAAGCGCCAGCTGTTCAGCATCAAGATGGCGGAAGGTGCCAACGTCTTGCACCATTGCAACGAAGTCTTGAACATCGGCGCCAAGCTCAGCAGCATCGGTGCCAAGATGGAAGACTAAGACATTGCGATCTGCTTACTGCGCAGTCTGCCCAATAGTTTCGAGAACGTGGTTCTCAACTTGGAGATGAGCAATGCAGAGCTGCGCACGCAAGATGTGGTCAAGGTGCTGACTAACGAGCACATCAAGCGACAAGGCGAGAAGATGACAACGGCAACGACAACGTTGAAGACTGAAGATGCGACAAAGGCATTCAGTACCGAGCGCAAGCCCTACCAATGCACATACTGCGGCAAGGTGGGGCACACGGCAGAGCGTTGCTGGACGAAGCAAAAGGATGAAAGTCGAGGAGCCCAACGCGGCGGCAATGGTCGTCGACGCGGGTCAAACAATGTCCACTGGCGACATTATGATGAAGGCAACAGCTACGATCGAGTGGCGTTTGCAGTTTCGTTCGAATGCGGAGTTTCGACGAACAAGAATGGACCAGGAATGTGGGCCGTTGACAGCGGGGCAACACATCACATCTGCCACGACAAGTTCAAGTTTGCAAGCTTGGTCGAAGGCAATGATGGCGAGATCCTGGTGACTGATGGAAACAAGGCGGCCATCAAAGGTGTGGGGACCATCGTGGAAAAGGTGATTCTGCCAAACGGGGAAGAGCGCGAGATCGAGATCAAGAACGCGCTCTATGTGCCCAGCATGAGCAAAAATCTGCTCTCAGTGCCGCAGATTAACAAGCACGGCAACTTCCAAGTGGTGTTTGACGGGGATACGATGTACGTCGCTCGCAAGGATTCCAATCAAGTGGTGGCATCTGCGGATCTTGTAGACGGACTCTACTGGCTTCGCACGACGCAGCGATCGGCCAATGCGACATCACTCAGCAACGCTGTTGATCTACATGCGCGAATGGGCCATGCTCCAGTCGACGTGCTTCGCAGGATGGTGACAAGCCACATGATCAAGGACGCTCACATCCCTTCCAAGCCGAATGGATCAAGTGTGTGTCGAGGATGCCAAGAAGGGAAGATGGTCCAAAAACCATTCCCGAGCAACCGTGACAAGCGCACCTACAACACCTTCGAGATGCTCCACTTCGACATCTGCGGACCCATGGAAGAAAAATCTCTGGGTGGCAGCAAGTATCTGCTGCTGATCGTGGATGAAGCCAGCGGATGCATGAAGGGTTTTTGTCTGCATTTCAAGTCAGAGAGCGAAGAGTGCATCAAGAAGTACATCACGATGATACAGACGCAGTTCAACAAGAAGGTCAAATTTGTGCGACACGATGGAGCCCGCGAGTTTGCGACGAACTCGCTTCAAGATTTCTACGAAGTCGAAGGCATCGAGCAACAAACCACGGTGCCATACGCACATCAAGCCAATGGAACTGCTGAACGCGCGATTCGAACTATCGTCACCATCGGTCGTAGCATGCTCCATCATGCCAAGTTGGACAAGTGCTTCTGGGCTGAAGCGGCAATGACGGCCGTCTATGTGAAGAACCGTTTGCCGTCACCCAAGATTCCACACAAGACACCGTTCGAGATTGTCTACAATTCTAAGCCAAGTGTCAAGCACATGCGCGTTTTTGGGTGCCAAGCATACATCTTGACCCCGAAGGAGAAACGACTCAAGTGGGATCCCAAGGCCCGGGCTGGATTGTTTTTGGGCTACGAAGAAGTGTCCAAGGCGTATCGAGTTTACGACATCGAAGCGGGGCAGGTGATGATAAGTCGCGATGTCAACTTCGATGAGTCGGCCTTTGGAATGTCGATGCTGATTTCCGATGACGATGTTGATGGCCTGGACTTCGAATCGATCGATCTTGATGATGAAGAACCGCGTCCGAGACACTTCAAACAAACAGGAAAGCGCAAGGCCCAACCCAGTCACGACAATGACGACGCAAGCATGCCCCGAGCAGTGCGCCAACGACCCGGATTGGAAGAGTCAAGTGCGCCGGATGACCTCTCTTCACGTCGAGCCAACGAAGATGAAGAAAGGAAGTCGGAGGAACAACATGACACACGGACTTCCTCCGCGTTTTGGCATGCGAGTGCAAACGCCGTCGAATCAGCGGTCGATTTTTCGGAGCCATCGACATTTGAAGAAGCAGTGTCTGGCCCGGACCAAGTACACTGGCGCAAGGCAATTGATGCGGAGCTCGATTCGATGAAGCTTCGCGGTGTCTTTCGTGCGGCCAAGTTACCCAACGGACAAAGCGCCATTGGCACAAAGTGGGTCTTCAAGATCAAGCGCAAGGCGGATGGGTCGATCGAGAAATACAAGGCACGACTTGTGGCCAAGGGTTTTCGCCAAAAGTATGGCATCGACTACACGGAGACGTTCTCGCCCGTGGTCAAGTATGTGACGCTGCGAATGGTCATCGCCATTACCAAGCACTTTGGATGGCCCCTCGACCAGCTCGATGTGGTGACTGCGTTCCTGTATGGAGTGATGAAGGAGAAGGTGTTCTGCGCTGTTCCGGAAGGCGTCAAGATGGAAGGTGATTTCGACTGTCTCGAGCTGATCAAGGCGATCTACGGTCTCAAGCAAGCCTCGCGTGTTTGGAACGAGACCTTCGACGAGTTTATTGAGGGTTACGGGTACAATCCGAACCTAGCGCGTAGTTCTTACGAGATAGTTTTTACATCGGTAATTACCTCAGAGATGATTAGACGCGTAGGATGATTGGACGCGTGTAAATCAGGTTGATTAGATGCACCATGTGATTGGATGCAGTCTAGGGTAGGCAGAAGTTAAGACCTATAAATCAATCACTTTCGAATCCTCCCTCAAGTGAGCAAGTGTTCTCTGCTTCGTTCTCTCCGGTCTCTCCGCTTCGTTTTCTCTTCGCCTCGCGCTCAAGTTATAACAGGTTATGAGCCCAAGCGCCATGTCGTCCAACAACACCTCGGCCAGTGTCTCCATCGATAAGTTCGATGGGGACAACTACTCAACCTGGTGTCGCTACATGCGCGGCGTGTTTCTGACGAAGTCAGTCTGGTACGTCGTGAACCGCGAAACGTCTCCAACCTTCACCGACACGCGAGCTTCCGACGAGTACGTCAAGGCGAGCAACATCGCGTTCGGGTTGATGTTGCTCCACATGGACGCCGACTACCACCATGTGGTCGACAACTGTGAAGAAGCATGGACAGCGTGGTCGCGGTTGAAGATGCTCTATGGTGGGTCGCAGAAGGCGGGACGCATCTACCTCAAGCGCCAGCTGTTCAGCATCAAGATGACGGAAGGTGCCAACGTCTTGCACCATTGCAACGAAGTCTTGAACATCGGCGCCAAGCTCAGCAGCATCGGTGCCAAGATGGAAGACTAAGACATTGCGATCTGCTTACTGCGCAGTCTGCCCAATAGTTTCGAGAACGTGGTTCTCAACTTGGAGATGAGCAATGCAGAGCTGCGCACGCAAGATGTGGTCAAGGTGCTGACTAACGAGCACATCAAGCGACAAGGCGAGAAGATGACAACGGCAACGACAACGTTGAAGACTGAAGATGCGACAAAGGCATTCAGTACCGAGCGCAAGCCCTACCAATGCACATACTGCGGCAAGGTGGGGCACACGGCAGAGCGTTGCTGGACGAAGCAAAAGGATGAAAGTCGAGGAGCCCAACGCGGCGGCAATGGTCGTCGACGCGGGTCAAACAATGTCCACTGGCGACATTATGATGAAGGCAACAGCTACGATCGAGTGGCGTTTGCAGTTTCGTTTGAATGCGGAGTTTCGACGAACAAGAATGGACCAGGAATGTGGGCCGTTGACAGCGGGGCAACACATCACATCTGCCACGACAAGTTCAAGTTTGCAAGCTTGGTCGAAGGCAATGATGGCGAGATCCTGGTGGCTGATGGCAACAAGGCGGCCATCAAAGGTGTGGGGACCATCGTGGAAAAGGTGATTCTGCCAAACGGGGAAGAGCGCGAGATCGAGATCAAGAACGCGCTCTATGTGCCCAGCATGAGCAAAAATCTGCTCTCAGTGCCGCAGATTAACAAGCACGGCAACTTCCAAGTGGTGTTTGACGGGGATACGATGTACGTCGCTCGCAAGGATTCCAATCAAGTGGTGGCATCTGCGGATCTTGTAGACGGACTCTACTGGCTTCGCACGACGCAGCGATCGGCCAATGCGACATCACTCAGCAACGCTGTTGATCTACATGCGCGAATGGGCCATGCTCCAGTCGACGTGCTTCGCAGGATGGTGACAAGCCACATGATCAAGGACGCTCACATCCCTTCCAAGCCGAATGGATCAAGTGTGTGTCGAGGATGCCAAGAAGGGAAGATGGTCCAAAAACCATTCCCGAGCAACCGTGACAAGCGCACCTACAACACCTTCGAGATGCTCCACTTCGACATCTGCGGACCCATGGAAGAAAAATCTCTGGGTGGCAGCAAGTATCTGCTGCTGATCGTGGATGAAGCCAGCGGATGCATGAAGGGTTTTTGTCTGCATTCCAAGTCAGAGAGCGAAGAGTGCATCAAGAAGTACATCACGATGATACAGACGCAGTTCAACAAGAAGGTCAAATTTGTGCGACACGATGGAGCCCGCGAGTTTGCGACGAACTCGCTTCAAGATTTCTACGAAGTCGAAGGCATCGAGCAGCAAACCACGGTGCCATATGCACATCAAGCCAATGGAACTGCTGAACGCGCGATTCGAACTATCGTCACCATCGGTCGTAGCATGCTCCATCATGCCAAGTTGGACAAGTGCTTCTGGGCTGAAGCGGCAATGACGGCCGTCTATGTGAAGAACCGTTTGCCGTCACCCAAGATTCCACACAAGACACCGTTCGAGATTGTCTACAATTCTAAGCCAAGTGTCAAGCACATGCGCGTTTTTGGGTGCCAAGCATACATCTTGACCCCGAAGGAGAAACGACTCAAGTGGGATCCCAAGGCCCGGGCTGGATTGTTTTTGGGCTACGAAGAAGTGTCCAAGGCGTATCGAGTTTATGACATCGAAGCGGGGCAGGTGATGATAAGTCGCGATGTCAACTTCGATGAGTCGGCCTTTGGAATGTCGATGCTGATTTCCGATGACGATGTTGATGGCCTGGACTTCGAATCGATCGATCTTGATGATGAAGAACCGCGTCCGAGACACTTCAAACAAACAGGAAAGCGCAAGGCCCAACCCAGTCACGACAATGACGACGCAAGCATGCCCCGAGCAGTGCGCCAACGACCCGGATTGGAAGAGTCAAGTGCGCCGGATGACCTCTCTTCACGTCGAGCCAACGAAGATGAAGAAAGGAAGTCGGAGGAACAACATGACACACGGACTTCCTCCGCGTTTTGGCATGCGAGTGCAAACGCCGTCGAAGCAGCGGTCGATTTTTCGGAGCCGTCGACATTTGAAGAAGCAGTGTCTGGCCCGGACCAAGTACACTGGCGCAAGGCAATTGATGCGGAGCTCGATTCGATGAAGCTTCGCGGTGTCTTTCGTGCGGCCAAGTTAACCAACAGACAAAGCGCCATTGGCACAAAGTGGGTCTTCAAGATCAAGCGCAAGGCGGATGGGTCGATCGAGAAATACAAGGCACGACTTGTGGCCAAGGGTTTTCGCCAAAAGTATGGCATCGACTACACGGAGACGTTCTCGCCCGTGGTCAAGTATGTGACGCTGCGAATGGTCATCGCCATTACCAAGCACTTTGGATGGCCCCTCGACCAGCTCGATGTGGTGACTGCGTTCCTGTATGGAGTGATGAAGGAGAAGGTGTTCTGCGCTGTTCCGGAAGGCGTCAAGATGGAAGGTGATTTCGACTGTCTCGAGCTGATCAAGGCGATCTACGGTCTCAAGCAAGCCTCGCGTGTTTGGAACGAGACCTTCGACGAGTTCATACGCTCGATTGGTTTTCAAGCGTCGGGATTTGATCCATGTCTCTACATCATGACTTCGGAAGGCCATTGTGTTTTTGTGCTGGTCTACGTGGACGATGTCTTGGTGACTGGAAGCTCGCTCGAGATGATTGCGCGCACCAAGAACGACCTCAAGACACGCTTCGAGATGACGGACAGCGGCAAGTGTGCCTTTGTTCTTGGGATCGAGTTATTGGACGGTGAAGATGGCAGCGTGACTATGTGTCAGCGCCGTTATGTCGACGATGTCCTCAAGCGCTTTGGAATGGATGAGTGCAAGGCTGTGGCAAGTCCGGTGGACGTCAGCTCTCGACTGGTTCCGAGCAACTCTGCAAGCAAGATGGATGTCCTATTCCGTGAAGCAGTGGGTGCTTTGATGCATCTGACGACTGCAACGCGACCGGGCATCGCCTATGCTGTAAGCTTTGTGTCACGGTTCATGGAGAAACCCCAAGAAGAACACTGGGTTGCAGTCAAGCGCATCTTCCGCTACCTACAAGGCACCAAGATGCATGGAATCTGCTACAAGCCAAGTGCGAAGATCGACTTTCGTGGCTATTAAGATGCAGACTGGGCCGGTGACCTTGCTGATCGCAAATCGACGTCCGGCTACGTCTTCATGCTATTGGGTGCTCCGGTGAGTTGGGGCAGCAAGAAACAGCCAAGTGTGTCACTATCTACAAGCGAAGCGGAGTACATCGCGCTCAGCCTGGCGATCCAAGAAGGCAAGTGGATCAATCGCTTGCTGTGCGAAATCATGGCGGCTGCAAACGAAGAAGGACCCGAGTTCGTCATCCGTGAAGACAACCAGTCGTGCATCAAGATGACGAAGAATCCGGTCAACCACGGCCGCGCTAAACACATCGACATCAAGTACCATCACATCCGTGATGAAGTCAAGCGCGGCGAAGTGAAGCTTGAATACTGCGAGACGACGTTGATGTTGGCGGACATCATGACGAAGGGACTTCACGGACCGCGTCACAAGGACTTGACGGCGGCGCTTGGCATCCGTGCGTGTTCGGATTGAGGGGGCGTATTGAGGGTTACCGGTACAATCCGAACCTAGCGCGTAGTTCTTACGAGATAGTTTTTACATCGGTAATTACCTCAGAGATGATTAGACGCGTAGGATGATTGGACGCGTGTAAATCAGGTTGATTAGATGCACCATGTGATTGGATGCAGTCTAGGGTAGGCAGAAGTTAAGACCTATAAATCAATCACTTTCGAATCCTCCCTCAAGTGAGCAAGTGTTCTCTGCTTCGTTCTCTCCGGTCTCTCCGCTTCGTTTTATCTTCGCCTCGCGCTCAAATTGCAACAATCAGCCACCAAGAGTTCGCCCTCATTGCGCTCTGCCAAACTTGCGAACTTGGTCTTGTCGTGGCAAATGTGGTGCGTTGCACCACTGTCGACGGCCCACATTCCAGACACGTCCTTGCTCGTCGAAACTCCACATTCGAACGAGACTGCAAACGCCACTCGATCGTAGCCATTGCCTTCATCATGATGTCCCCACTGGACATTGTTAGCCCCGCGTCCACGACCATTGCCGCCGCGTCGGGCTCCCCGACCTTCGTTCTTCTGCTTTGTCCAGCAACGATCCACCGTGTGTCCCACCTTGCCACAATACGTGCATTGGTAGGGCTCACGCTCGGCGCTGAATGCCTTGCTTGCATCTTCAGCCTTCACCGTAGTCGCTGTCGTTGTCCCTTTTTCTCCTTGACGCTTGGCATGCTCATTCGTCAGGACTCTCACCACATCTTGAGTGCGAAGCTCGGTGCTGCTCATTTCCATGTTGAGCACCACATTTTCGTAGCTCTTCGGAAGACTGAGTAGCAGACAAATTGCAACGTCTTCGTCTTCCATCTTCGCACCGATGCCGCTAAGCTTGGCGGAGATGTTGAGGACCTCGTTGCAGTGATGCATGACGTTCGCGCCTTCAGCCATCTTGGTGCTGAAAAGTTGTCGCTTGAGGTAGATGCGTCCTGCCTTCTGCGACCCACCGTACAGCGTCTTCGGACTTGTCCACGCAACCCAGGCTTCCTCGCAGTTGTCCAGCACATGATGGTAGTCCGCGTTTATGTGCAGCAGCATCATACCAAACGCGACGTTGCTTGCCTTGACGTAGTCATCGGACGCTCGCGGGTCGGTGAAAGTCGGAGTCACTTCACGGTTGACGACGTGCCAGAAGGCTGCGTCAAAAACACACCGCGCATGTACCGGCTCCACGTTGCGTAATTGTCTCCGTTGAACTTGTCAATGGAGGCGTTGCTGGTGGACGACATGGCGCTTGGGCTCATAACCTGTTGCATTGTAGATCGGAGCGAGGAAAGCGGAGCGAACGGAGCGGAGAGACCGAAGAGAGTAGAGCAGAAAACACTTGCCCAATAGTTGGAAGATTCGAAAGTGATTGATTATCGGGGCTTACTACTTACTACATGATTTATATGTGGTGTACATATAAATCATGTGAAGCGTCTCATCATCCTACGCGTCTAATCAACTATGGTAATTACCGTAAGAACTACGTCGTAAATACTAAGCTGAACAGACGGTTCGGATTGGATCGGTCGCGGTTACCAATACTGGTAGAAAACCGATGACCGTCAACACGCCCCCTTAATCCAAAGGCTCACGAATCCCGAGAGCCGTCGTCATCTCCTGTTGGCGTGGTCCATGAAGTCCCTTCGTCATGATGTCCGCTAACATCACCGCAGTTTCACAGTACTTGAGCTTCACTTCACCGCGCTTGACCTCATCACGGATGTGATGGTACTTGATATCAATGTGCTTGGCACGGCCGTGGTTGACCGGGTTCTTCGTCATCTTGATACATGACTGATTGTCTTCATGAATCATGAGTTCCGGTCCTTCTTCATTGGCAGCCATCACGATCTCACAAAGCAGACGATGAATCCACTTGCCCTCTTGAATCGCCAAGCTGAGTGCGATGTATTCAGCTTCAGTCGTGGACAAAGAAACACTTGGCTGCTTCTTGCTGCCCCAACTCACTGGCGCACCGAGTAGCATGAACGTGTACCCCGATGTTGACTTGCGGTCGGTAAGATCACCAGCCCAATCCGCATCCGAATATCCACGGAAGTCGATCCTTGCACTTGGCTTGTAGCAAATTCCATGCGTCTTGGTGCCTTGTAGGTAGCGAAAGATACGCTTAACTGCAACCCAGTGTTCTTCTTGGGGATTTTCCATGAACCGCGACACATAGCCCACAGCAAACGCAATGTCCGGACGCGTTGCAGTGGTCAGGTGCATCAACGCACCAACAGCTTCGCGAAAAGGAGCATCGACCTTGGTAGTTGCATCACTTGAAACAAGTCGAGAGCTCATGTCGACTGGACTTGCGACTGCCTTGCAATCATCCATGCCAAAGCGCTTGAGGATATCATCGACATACCGACGCTGACATAGTGTCACACTGCCATCTTCACCGTCCAAAAGCTCGATCCCAAGAACAAACGCACACTTGCCGCTGTCCGTCATTTCGAACCGCATCTTCAGGTCGTTCTTGGTTTGTGCAATCAGCTCGAGCGAGCTTCCAGTCACCAAGACGTCGTCCACGTAGACCAGTATAAACACGCAATGGCCGTCCGAAGTCTTGATGTAGAGACATGGGTCGAAGTCCGATACTTGAAATCCGATGGAGCACACATACTCGTCGAACGTCTCGTTCCACACTCGCGACGCTTGCTTGAGGCCGTAAATTGACTTCACCAATTCCAGGCAATCGAACGTACTATCAAGTTCGACGCCTTCAGGAATCACGCAGAACACTTGTTCCTTCATGACGCCATGCAGGAAAGCTGTCACCACATCAAGCTGGTCGATGGGCCATCCAAAATGCTTGGAAATTGCGATCACCAGTCGCAGCGTCACATACTTGACCACAGGCGAAAACGTCTCCGTGTAGTCGATGCCATACTTTTGGCGGAAACCCTTGGCCACAAGTCGTGCCTTGTACTTCTCGATTGACCCATCCGCCTTGCGCTTGATCTTGAACACCCATTTTGTGCCAATGGCGCGTTGTCCGTTGGGCAGCTTGGCTGCACGAAACACACCGCGAAGGCCCATTGACTCGAGCTCTGCATGAATTGCTTTTCTTCAGTGCACTTGGTCAGGGCCGCTTACTGCTGCTTCAAATGTTGAGGGCTCTGATAAGTTTGCTGCTGTTTCAACGGCATTTGCACTCGCAAGTCAAAACACAGGCGGTGTTGAATCACCAGAATCCTTCGTTTCTTCGTCTTCTTCTTGGCGTGACGAGTTGTTTTCCGGCGCGCTTGACTCTTCTAGTCCTGGTCATTGACGCACTGCACGCGGTCGTGGAGCTGCTGTATCTTCATCATTGAGTCGGTTCTTGCGCTTGCCTGTTTGCTTGTACTCCATTTGACGCAGCTCTTCGTCATCAAGATCCAGCAATTCGAAGTCCAGGTCATCGACATCTTCATCAGTGATCGGCAGTTGAAGTCCAAAGGTGGACTCGTCGAAGTTGACATCGCGGCTGATAACCACCTGCTCCGCCTCGATGTCATAAACACGATATGCCTTCGAAACTTCTTCGTAGCCCACGAATATGCCAGCGCGAGCCTTTGGATCCCACTTGAGTCGATTCTCTTTAGGCGTCAGTATGTATGTCTGACACCCGAATGTTCGCATGTGCTTGACGCTTGGTTTCAAGTTGTAGACGATCTCAAACGGGGGTCTTGTGCACGACTTTAGGTGACGGCAGTCGATTCTTGACGTAGATGGCCGTCATCGCTGCTTCGGCCCAGAAACACTTGTCCAGTTTGGCATGATGAAGCATGCTGCGGCCGATCGTAACAGTAGTCCTAATGGCACGCTCTGCTGTTCCGTTGGTTTGATGCGCGTACGGGACCGTGGTCTGCTGCTCAATACCTTGGTCTTGGTAGAACAGTTGAAGCGAGTTGGTTGCGAGCTCGCAAGCTACGTCGTGTCGCACGAACTTGACCTTCTTACAGAATTGTCTGTACCATGGTGATATATTTCCGGATGTAGTCTTCACTCTCGGACTTCACTCGTAGACAAAAGCCCTTCATGCATCCACTGGCTTCGTCGATGATCAGCAGCAAATATTTGCTGCCACCGAGCGAATCCTTTTCCATGGGCCCGCAGATGTCCAGATGAAGTAGCTCAAACGTATCGTAGCTGCGCTTGTCTCGGTTGCTTGGAAATGGTTTTTGGACCATTTTCCCTTGTTGACATCCTCGACATGTAGTTGCTCCACCCGACTTGAGAGGGACTCGCACATCCTTGATCATGTTGGTCGCGATCATCTTGCGAAGTACATCGACTGGAGCATGACCCATTCTCGCATGTAGATCGGCACAACCGGTTCCACTTGTTGTCACATTTGCTGATCGTTGAGTCGTCCGAAGCCAGTAGAGTCCATCCACGAGATCCGCTGTCGCCACCACTTGCTGTGAGTTCTTGAGAGTCACATACATCTTGGACCCGTCAAACACGACTTGAAACTTGCCATGGCTGTTAATCTGTAGCACCGAGAGCAGGTTCTTGCTCATACTTGGAACATATAGCGCGTTCTTGATTTCGATCTCACGCTCTTCACCGTTGGGCAGAACCACCTTTTCCATGATGGTTCCCACACCCTTGATGGCCACCTTGTTGCCATCAGCCACCAAGAGTTCGCCCTCATTGCGCTCTGCCAAACTTGCGAACTTGGTTTTGTCGTGGCAAATGTGGTGCGTTGCACCACTGTCGACGGCCCACATTCCAGACACGTCCTTGCTCGTCGAAACTCCACATTCGAACGAGACTGCAAACGCCACTCGATCGTAGCCGTTGCCTTCATCATGATGTCCCCACTGGACATTGTTAGCCCCGCGTCCACGACCATTGCCGCCGCGTCGGGCTCCCCGACCTTCGTTCTTCTGCTTTGTCCAGCAACGATCCACCGTGTGTCCCACCTTGCCACAATACGTGCATTGGTAGGGCTCACGCTCGGCGCTGAATGCCTTGCTTGCATCTTCAGCCTTCACCGTAGTCGCTGTCGTTGTCCCTTTTTCTCCTTGACGCTTGGCATGCTCATTCGTCAGGACTCTCACCACATCTTGGTTACGAAGCTCGGCGCTGCTCATTTCCATGTTGAGCACCACATTTTCGTAGCTCTTCGGAAGACTGAGTAGCAGACAAATTGCAACGTCTTCGTCTTCCATCTTCGCACCGATGCCGCTAAGCTTGGCGGAGATGTTGAGGACCTCGTTGCAGTGATGCATGACGTTCGCGCCTTCAGCCATCTTGGTGCTGAAAAGTTGTCGCTTGAGGTAGATGCGTCCTGCCTTCTGCGACCCACCGTACAGCGTCTTCAGACTTGTCCACGCAACCCAGGCTTCCTCGCAGTTGTCCAGCACATGATGGTAGTCCGCGTTTATGTGCAGCAGCATCATACCAAACGCGACGTTGTGCCTTGACGTAGTCATCGGACGCTCGCGGGTCGGTGGAAGTCGGAGTCACTTCACGGTTGACGACGTGCCAGACGGACTGCGTCAAAAACACACCGCGCATGTACCGGCTCCACGTTGCGTAATTGTCTCCGTTGAACTTGTCAATGGAGGCGTTGCTGGTGGACGACATGGCGCTTGGGCTCATAACCTGTTGCATTGTAGATCGGAGCGAGGAAAGCGGAGCGAACGGAGCGGAGAGACCGAAAAGAGTAGAGCAGAAAACACTTGCCCAATAGTTGGAAGATTCGAAAGTGATTGATTATCGGGGCTTACTACTTACTACATGATTTATATGTGGTGTACATATAAATCATGTGAAGCGTCTCATCATCCTACGCGTCTAATCAACTATGGTAATTACCGCAAGAACTACGTCGTAAATACTAAGCTGAACAGGCGGTTCGGATTGGATCGGTCACGGTTACCAATACTGGTAGAAAACCGATGACCGTCAACAAGCTCCACCTTGATTTTTGTCCTTCTGCTTGGTCCAGCACCGCTCCGCCATGTGCCCCAATTTTCCGCAGTATGTACACGGGCGAGGTTCACGCTCGGCACTGAACGCCTTCGCCGCGTCTTCAGTCTTCACCGATGTCGTCTTGTCACCTTGCCTCTTGATGTGCTCATTTGTGAGTACTCTCACGACGTCTCGCGATCGCAGTTCCGCGCTGCTCATCTCCAAGTTGAGAACGACGTTCTCGTAGCTCTTGGGGAGGCTGCGCAACAAGCAGATCGCCACGTCCTCGTCGTCCATCTTGGCGCCGATGCTGCTGAGCTTCGCGCTGATGTTGAGGACTTCGTTGCAATGATGCATCACATTGCCGCCTTCCGACATCTCCATGCTGAACAGCTGGCGCTTCAAGTAGATGCGTCCAGCCTTCTGCGACCCGCCGTACAGCGTCTTCAAACGCGCCCACGCGACCCACGCCTCTTCACAGTCATCAACCACGTGATGATAGTCCGCGCTCATGTGAAGTAACATCAAGCCGAACGCAATGTTGTTCGTCTTGACGTAGTCGTCACTGGCGCGAGGATCGGCGAAGGTGGGGGTGGTCTCCCGGTTCACCACGTGCCACGTCGACTTGGTCAGGAACACGCCACGCATGTAGCGGCTCCACGTCGCGTAGTTGTCGCCGTCGAACTTGTCAATGGAGATCTTGGTGGTGACATCATGAGCAGTGGACATCGTGCTTGGGCTCATAACCTGTTGAAAGGTGTGAAGCTTGACGACCGAAACTGGGAGTGATGCTGGGAGTCCACTCGGAAGACCGGAGAAGACACTTGGGGGTAGATGGAAGATTGGAAAGTGATTGATTATCGGGGCTTACTACTTACTACATGATTTATATGTGGTGCACATATAAATCATGTGAAGCGTCTCATCATCCTACGCGTCTAATCAACTATGGTAATCACCGTAAGAACTACGCCGTAAATACTAAGCTGAACAGGCGGTTCGGATTGGATCGGTCACGGTTACCAATACTGGTAGAAACCGATGACCGTCAACAGTATCGACTCCAAGTCGCATAGTTGTCTCCACTGAACTTATCAATGGAGACGTTGGATGATGCGTTGGTGGTGGACGACATGGCGCTTGGGCTCATAATCTGTTGCATGGCAGAGAGAGGAGCGAAGGGAGAGGCTGAAGAGAGTAGAGCAGAAGCCACTTTCTCACTAGTTGGAAGATTCGAAAGCGATTGATTATCGGGGCTTACTACATGATTTAGATGTGCTGCACATCTAGATCATGTGAAGCGTCTCATCATCCTACGCGTCTAATCAACTATGGGTATTTAACATAAGAAATACGTCGCAAATACTAAGATGAGCAGGCGGTTCGGATTGAACTGGTCACGATTAGCATGACTGGTAGAAAACCGATGACCGTCAACACGCCCTCTCAACCCGAATGCGAGCAGATGCCTAGCGGCGCCGTTAAGTCCTTGTGGCGCGGTCCGTGGAGTTCCTTGGTCATAATGTCTGCCAACATTACCGTCGTGTTGCAGTATTCAAGCTTCACTTCAACCCGCTTGACTTCATCGCGAATGTGATGGTACTGGATATTAATGTGTTTAGCGCGGCCGTGGTTGACCGGATGCTTGGTCGTTTTGATGTAGGACTGGTTGTCTTCGCGGATCATGAGCTCGGGTCCGTCCTCGTTAGCAGCCGCCATGATCTCGCATAGTAAGCGGTGGATCCACTTGCCTTCTTGAACCGCCAGACTTAGCGCAATGTACTCCGCTTCACTTGTAGACAGTGACACACTTGGCTGCTTCTTGCTACCCCAACTCACTGGAGCACCCAATAGCATAAAACGTAGCCAGACGTTGACTTGCGATCAGTGAGGTCGCCGGCCCAGTCTGCGTCCAAAGAACCACGAAAGTCGATCCTTGCACGTGGCTTGCAGCAAATTCCATGCATCTTAGTGCCTTGTAGGTAGCGAAAGATGCGCTTTACCGCAACCCAGTGTTCTTCTTGGGGATTCTTCACGAAGCGCGACACAAAGCTCATAGCATAGGCGATGTCCGGTCGTGTCGCAGTCGTCAGATGCATCAAAGCACGAACAGCTTCGAGGAAGGGAACATCGATCTTGCTCGTAGCGTTGCTTGACATCAGTCGAGAGCTGACATCCACAGGACTCGCCACAGCCTTGCACTCCTCCATGCCAAAGCGCTTGAGGATATCATCTTCATACATAACGGCGCTGACACATATTCACGCTTCCATCTTCTCCATTCAAAAGCTCAATTCCAAGAACAAATGCACATTTGCCGCTGTCAGTCATCTCGAAGCGTGTCTTCAGGTCGTTCTTGGTTCGTGTAATTAGCTCGAGAGAGCTTCCAGTCACCAAGACGTCGTCCACGTAGACCAGTACAAACACACAATGGCCGACCAAAGTCTTGATGTAGAGACATGGGTCGAAGTCCGATACTTGAATTCCAATGGAGCACACAAACTCGTCGAACGTCTCGTTCCACACTCGCGAGGCTTGCTTGGGGCCACAATTGACTTAATCAATTCCAGGCAATCGAACGTACTGTCAAGTTCAAAGCCTTCAGGAATCGCGCAGAACACTTGTTCCTTCATGACGCCATACAGGAAAGCCGTCATCACATCAAGCTGGTCGATGGGCCATCCAAAGGGCTTGGAAATTGCGATCTCCATTCGCAGCGTCACATACTTGACCACGGATGAAAATGTCTCCGTGTAGTCGATGCCATGTTTTTGGCGGAAACCCTTGGCCACAAGTCGTGCCTTGTACTTCTCGATCTACCCAACCGCCTTGCGCTTGATCTTAAACACTCACTTTGTGCCAATGGCGCACTGTCCGTTGGGCAGATTGGCTGCACGAAACACACTGCGAAGGCGCATTGACTCGAGTTCCGCATAAATGGCATTTGCCAGTGCACTTGGTCAGGGCCGCTCACTGCCACCTCAAATGTGTAGGGCTCCGATAAGTCTGCTTCTGTTTCAACGACATTCGTGTTGTAGCTTGAGCGCGAGGCGAAGAGAAAACGAAGCGGAGAGACCGGAGAGAACGAAGCAGAGAACACTTGCTCACTTGAGGGAGGATTCGAAAGTGATTGATTTATAGGTCTTAACTTCTGCCTACCCTAGACTGCATCCAATCACATGGTGCATCTAATCAACCTGATTTACACGCGTCCAATCATCCTACGCGTCTAATCATCTCTGAGGTAATTACCGATGTAAAAACTATCTCGTAAGAACTACGCGCTAGGTTCGGATTGTACCGGTTACCCTCAATACCCCCCATCAATACGAACACGTGCGGATGCCAAGCGCCTCTGTCAGCTCCTTGTGACGCGGTACGTGAAGTCCCTTGGTCATGATGTCTGCTAACATCAACGTTGTCTCGCAGTATTCAAGCTTGACTTCGCCGCGCTTGACCTCGTCACGGATGTGATGGTACTTGATGTCGATGTGTTTAGCGCGGCCGTGGTTGACCGGATTCTTCGTCATCTTGATGCACGACTGGTTGTCTTCACGGATGACGAGCTCGGGTCCTTCTTCGTTTGCAGCCGCCATGATCTGGCACAGCAAGCGATTGATCCACTTGCCTTCTTGGATCGCCAGGCTGAGCGCGATGTACTCCGCTTCGCTTGTAGACAGTGACACACTTGGCTGTTTCTTGCTGCCCCAACTCACCGGAGCACCCAATAGCATGAAGACGTAGCCGGACGTCGATTTGCGATCAGCAAGGTCACCGGCCCAGTCTGCATCTGAATAGCCACGAAAGTCGATCTTCGCACTTGGCTTGTAGCAGATTCCATGCATCTTGGTGCCTTGTAGGTAGCGGAAGATGCGCTTGACTGCAACCCAGTGTTCTTCTTGGGGTTTCTCCATGAACCGTGACACAAAGCTTACAGCATAGGCGATGTCCGGTCGCGTTGCAGTCGTCAGATGCATCAAAGCACCCACTGCTTCACGGAATGGGACATTCACCTTGCTTGCAGAGTTGCTTGGAACCAGTCGAGAGCTGACGTCCACCGGACTTGCCACAGCCTTGCACTCATCCATTCCAAAACGCTTGAGGACATCGTCGACATAACGGCGCTGACACATAGTCACGCTGCCATCTTCACCGTCCAATAACTCGATCCCAAGAACAAAGGCACACTTGCCGCTGTCCGTCATCTCGAAGCGTGTCTTGAGGTCGTTCTTGGTGCGCGCAATCATCTCGAGCGAGCTTCCAGTCACCAAGACATCGTCCACGTAGACCAGCACAAAAACACAATGGCCTTCCGAAGTCATGATGTAGAGACATGGATCGAATCCCGACGCTTGAAAACCAATCGAGCGTATGAACTCGTCGAAGGTCTCGTTCCAAACACGCGAGGCTTGCTTGAGACCGTAGATCGCCTTGATCAGCTCGAGACAGTCGAAATCACCTTCCATCTTGACGCCTTCTGGAACAGCGCAGAACACCTTCTCCTTCATCACTCCATACAGGAACGCAGTCACCACATCGAGCTGGTCGAGGGGCCATCCAAAGTGCTTGGTAATGGCGATGACCATTCGCAGCGTCACATACTTGACCACGGGCGAGAACGTCTCCGTGTAGTCAATGCCATACTTTTGGCGAAAACCCTTGGCCACAAGTCGTGCCTTGTATTTCTCGATCGACCCATCCGCCTTGCGCTTGATCTTGAAGACCCACTTTGTGCCAATGGCTCTTTGTCCGTTGGGTAACTTGGCCGCACGAAAGACACCGCGAAGCTTCATCGAATCGAGCTCCGCATCAATTGCCTTGCGCCAGTGTACTTGGTCCGGGCCAGACACTGCTTCTTCAAATGTCGACGGCTCCGAAAAATCGACCGCTGCTTCGACGGCGTTTGCACTCGCATGCCAAAACGCGGAGGAAGTCGGTGTGTCATGTTGTTCCTCCGACTTCCTTTCTTCATCTTCGTTGGCTCGACGTGAAGAGAGGTCATCCGGCGCACTTGACTCTTCCAATCCGGGTCGTTGGCGCACTGCTCGGGGCATGCTTGCGTCGTCATTGTCGTGACTGGGTTGGGCCTTGCGCTTTCCTGTTTGTTTGAAGTGTCTCGGACGCGGTTCTTCATCATCAAGATCGATCGATTCGAAGTCCAGGCCATCAACATCGTCATCGGAAATCAGCATCGACATTCCAAAGGCCGACTCATCGAAGTTGACATCGCGACTTATCATCACCTGCCCCGCTTCGATGTCGTAAACTCGATACGCCTTGGACACTTCTCCGTAGCCCAAAAACAATCCAGCCCGGGCCTTGGGATCCCACTTGAGTCGTTTCTCCTTCGGGGTCAAGATGTATGCTTGGCACCCAAAAACGCGCATGTGCTTGACACTTGGCTTAGAATTGTAGACAATCTCGAACGGTGTCTTGTGTGGAATCTTGGGTGACGGCAAACGGTTCTTCACATAGACGGCCGTCATTGCCGCTTCAGCCCAGAAGCACTTGTCCAACTTGGCATGATGGAGCATGCTACGACCGATGGTGACGATAGTTCGAATCGCGCGTTCAGCAGTTCCATTGGCTTGATGTGCGTATGGCACCGTGGTTTGTTGCTCGATGCCTTCGACTTCGTAGAAATCTTGAAGCGAGTTCGTCGCAAACTCGCGGGCTCCATCGTGTCGCACAAATTTGACCTTCTTGTTGAACTGCGTCTGTATCATCGTGATGTACTTCTTGATGCACTCTTCGCTCTCTGACTTGGAATGCAGACAAAAACCCTTCATGCATCCGCTGGCTTCATCCACGATCAGCAGCAGATACTTGCTGCCACCCAGAGATTTTTCTTCCATGGGTCCGCAGATGTCGAAGTGGAGCATCTCGAAGGTGTTGTAGGTGCGCTTGTCACGATTGCTCGGGAATGGTTTTTGGACCATCTTCCCTTCTTGGCATCCTCGACACACACTTGATCCATTCGGCTTGGAAGGGATGTGAGCGTCCTTGATCATGTGGCTTGTCACCATCCTGCGAAGCACGTCGACTGGAGCATGGCCCATTCGCGCATGTAGATCAACAGCGTTGCTGAGTGATGTCGCATTGGCCGATCGCTGCGTCGTGCGAAGCCAGTAGAGTCCGTCTACAAGATCCGCAGCTGCCACCACTTGATTGGAATCCTTGCGAGCGACGTACATCGTATCCCCGTCAAACACCACTTGGAAGTTGCCGTGCTTGTTAATCTGCGGCACCGAGAGCAGATTTTTGCTCATGCTGGGCACATAGAGCGCGTTCTTGATCTCGATCTCGCGCTCTTCCCCGTTTGGCAGAATCACCTTTTCCACGATGGTCCCCACACCTTTGATGGCCGCCTTGTTGCCATCAGCCACCAGGATCTCGCCATCATTGCCTTCGACCAAGCTTGCAAACTTGAACTTGTCGTGGCAGATGTGATGTGTTGCCCCGCTGTCAACGGCCCACATTCCTGGTCCATTCTTGTTCGTTGAAACTCCGCATTCGAACGAAACTGCAAGCGCCACTCGATCGTAGCTGTTGCCTTCATCATAATGTCGCCACTGGACATTGTTTGCCCCGCGTCCACGACCATTGCCGCCGCGTTGGGCTCCTCGACTTTCATCCTTTTGCTTCGTCCAGCAACGCTCTGCCGTGTGCCCCACCTTGCCGCAGTATGTGCATTGGTAGGGCTTGCGCTCGGTACTGAATGCCTTTGTCGCATCTTCAGTCTTCACCGTTGTCGTTGCCGTTGTCATCTTCTCGCCTTGTCGCTTGATGTGCTCGTTAGTCAGCACCTTGACCACATCTTGCGTGCGCAGCTCTGCATTGCTCATCTCCAAGTTCAGAACCACGTTCTCGAAACTCTTCGGGAGACTGAGCAGCAAGCAGAATCGCAATGTCTTAGTCTTCCATCTTGGCACCGATGCTGCTGAGCTTGGCGCCGATGTTCAAGACTTCGTTGCAAAATGGTGCAAGACGTTGGCACCTTCCGCCATCTTGATGCTGAACAGCTGGCCCGCTTGAGGTAGATGCGTCCCGCCTTCTGCGACCCACCATAGAGCATCTTCAACCGCGACCACGCTGTCCATGCTTCTTCACAGTTGTCGACCACATGGTGGTAGTCGGCGTCCATGTGGAGCAACATCAACCCGAACGCGATGTTGCTCGCCTTGACGTACTCGTCGGAAGCTCGCGTGTCGGTGAAGGTTGGAGACGTTTCGCGGTTCACGACGTACCAGACTGACTTCGTCAGAAACACGCCGCGCATGTAGCGACACCAGGTTGAGTAGTTGTCCCCATCGAACTTATCGATGGAGACACTGGCCGAGGTGTTGTTGGACGACATGGCGCTTGGGCTCATAACCTGTTGTAACTTGAGCGCGAGGCGAAGAGAAAACGAAGCGGAGAGACCGGAGAGAACGAAGCAGAGAACACTTGCTCACTTGAGGGAGGATTCGAAAGTGATTGATTTATAGGTCTTAACTTCTGCCTACCCTAGACTGCATCCAATCACATGGTGCATCTAATCAACCTGATTTCACGCGTCCAATCATCCTACGCGTCTAATCATCTCTGAGGTAATTACCGATGTAAAAACTATCTCGTAAGAACTACGCGGTAGGTTCGGATTGTCACCGGTAACCCTCAATATAAACAAAAGCCCTTCGTGCATCCACTCCACTGGCTTCGTCTACGATCAGTAGCAGATATCTGCTACCACCGAGCGAATCGTTTTCCATGGGCCCACAGATGTCCAGATGAAGCAGCTCACACTTATCATAGCTGCGCTTGTCGCGGTTGCTTGGGAATGGTTTTTGGACTTTTTCACCTTGTTGACACCTGCGGCATGCACTTGCTCCACCCAACTTGAGCGGGACTCGCACATCCTTGATCATGTTGGTCGTGATCATCTTGCGAAGTACGTCGACTGGAGCGGGGTGACCCATTCGCGCATGTAGACCATCACAATGTTTTCACTTGTGTCACATTTGTCGATCGCTGAGTCGTACGAAGCCAGTAAAGTCCATCTACGAGATCCGCTGAGACGAAGCCAGTAAAGTCCATCCACGAGATCCGCTGTCGCCAACACTTTCTGTGAGTTCTTGAGAGTCACATACATCTTGGACCCGTCAAACACACACGACTTGTAGCATGTCATGCCTGTTAGTCTGTGGCATTGATGCAGGTTCTTGCTCAGACTGGGAACATGTAACGCGTTCTTGATCTCGATCTCGCGCTCTTCGCCGTTGGTCAGAACCACATTTTCTATGATGGTTCCAACACCCTTGATGGCCACTTTGTAGCCATCAGCCACCAAGCGTTCGCCCTCATTGCGCTCTGCCAAACTTGCGAACTTGGTCTTGTCGTGGCAAATGTGGTGCGTTGTACCACTGTCGACGGCCCACATTCCAGACACGTCCTTGCTCGTCGAAACTCCACATTCGAACGAGACTGCAAACGCCACTCGATCGTAGCCATTGCCTTCATCATGATGTCCCCACTGGACATTGTTAGCCCCGCGTCCACGACCATTGCCGCCACGTCGGGCTCCCCGACCTTCGTTCTTCTGCTTTGTCCAGTAACGATCCACCGTGTGTCCCACCTTGCCACAATACGTGCATTGGTAGGGCTCACGCTCGGCGCTGAATGCCTTGCTTGCATCTTCAGCCTTCACCGTAGTCGCTGTTGCTGTCCCTTTTTCTCCTTGACGCTCGGCGTGCTCATTCGTCAGCACTCTCACCACATCTTGGTTACGAAGCTCGGCGCTGCTCATTTCCATGTTGAGCACCACATTTTTTTTACGTTCTAGCTCTTTAAAAGACTAAGCAGCAGACAGATTGCAACGTCTTCTTCTTCCATCTTCGCACCGATGCCGCTAAGCTTAGCGGAGACGTTGAGGACCTCGTTGCAGTGGTGCATGACGTTCGCGCCTTCATCCATCTTGGTGCTAAAACGTTGTCGCTTGAGGTAGATGCGTCCTGCCTTCTGCGACCCACCGTACAGCGTCTTCAGACTTTTCCACGCAACCCAGGCTTCCTCGCAGTTGTCCAGCACATGATGGTAGTCCGCGTTCATGTGCAGCAGCATCATACCAAACGCGACGTTGCTTGCCTTGACGTAGTCATCGGACGCTTGCGGGTCGGTGAAAGTCGGAGTCACTTCACGGTTGACGACGTGCCAGACGGACTTCGTCAAAAACACACCGCGCATGTACCAGCTCCACGTTGCGTAATTGTCTCCGTTGAACTTGTCAATGGAGGCGTTGCTGGTGGACGACATGGCGCTTGGGCTCATAACCATTTGCATTGTAGATCGGAGCGAGGAAAGCGGAGCGAACGGAGCGGAGAGACCGAAAAGAGTAGAGCAGAAAACACTTGCCCAATAGTTGGAAGATTCGAAAGTGATTGATTATCGGGGCTTACTACTTACTACATGATTTATATGTGGTGTACATATAAATCATGTGAAGCGTCTCATCATCCTACGCGTCTAATCAACTATGGTAATTACCGTAAGAACTACATCGTAAATACTAAGCTGAACAGGCGGTTCGGATTGGACCGGTCACGGTTACCAACACTGGTAGGAAACCGATGACCGTCAACACGTCTTGCACCCGAATGCTCGCATGTGCTCGACACTTGGCTTCGAGTTGTAGACGATTTCAAACGTATTCTTGAGTACGACTTTAGGTGACGGCAGTCGATTCTTGACGTAGATGGCCGTCATCGCTGCTTCATCCCAGAAACAATTGTCTAGTTTGGCATGATGAAGCATGCTGCGGCCGATCGTAAGGATAGTCCTAATGGCACGCTCTGCTGTTCCGTTGATTTGATGCGCATATGTCACCGTTGTTTGCTGTTCAATGCCTTCATCTTCGTAAAACATCTGAATCGAGTTGGTTGCGAGCTCGCAAGCTCCGTCGTGTCGCACGAACTTGACCTTCTTACAGAATTGTCTGTACCATGGTGATATATTTCCGGATGTAGTCTTCACTCTAGGACTTCACTCGTAAACTGTTGTAACTTGAGCGCGAGGCGAAGAGAAAACGAAGCGGAGAGACCGGAGAGAACGGAGCAGAGAACACTTGCTCACTTGAGGGAGGATTCGAAAGTGATTGATTTATAGGTCTTAACTTCTGCCTACCCTAGACTGCATCCAATCACATGGTGCATCTAATCAACCTGATTTACACGCGTCCAATCATCCTACGCGTCTAATCATCTCTGAGGTAATTACCGATGTAAAAACTATCTCGTAAGAACTACGCGCTAGGTTCGGATTGTACCGGTAACCCTCAATACGCCCCCTCAATCCGAACACGCACGGATGCCAAGCGCCGCCGTCAAGTCCTTGTGACGCGGTCCGTGAAGTCCCTTCGTCATGATGTCCGCCAACATCAACGTCGTCTCGCAGTATTCAAGCTTCACTTCGCCGCGCTTGACTTCATCACGGATGTGATGGTACTTGATGTCGATGTGTTTAGCGCGGCCGTGGTTGACCGGATTCTTCGTCATCTTGATGCACGACTGGTTGTCTTCACGGATGACGAGCTCGGGTCCTTCTTCGTTTGCAGCCGCCATGATCTCGCACAGCAAGCGATTGATCCACTTGCCTTCTTGGATCGCCAGGCTGAGCGCGATGTACTCCGCTTCGCTTGTAGACAGTGACACACTTGGCTGTTTCTTGCTGCCCCAACTCACCGGAGCACCCAATAGCATGAAGACGTAGCCGGACGTCGATTTGCGATCAGCAAGGTCACCGGCCCAGTCTGCATCTGAATAGCCACGAAAGTCGATCTTCGCACTTGGCTTGTAGCAGATTCCATGCATCTTGGTGCCTTGTAGGTAGCGGAAGATGCGCTTGACTGCAACCCAGTGTTCTTCTTGGGGTTTCTCCATGAACCGTGACACAAAGCTTACAGCATATGCGATGTCCGGTCGCGTTGCAGTCGTCAGATGCATCAAAGCACCCACTGCTTCACGGAATGGGACATCCACCTTGCTTGCAGAGTTGCTCGGAACCAGTCGAGAGCTGACGTCCACCGGACTTGCCACAGCCTTGCACTCCTCCATTCCAAAGCGCTTGAGGACATCGTCGACATAACGGCGCTGACACATAGTCACGCTGCCATCTTCACCGTCCAATAACTCGATCCCAAGAAAAAAGGCACACTTGCCGCTGTCCGTCATCTCGAAGCGTGTCTTGAGGTCGTTCTTGGTGCGCGCAATCATCTCGAGCGAGCTTCCAGTCACCAAGACATCGTCCACGTAGACCAGCACAAAAACACAATGGCCTTCCGAAGTCATGATGTAGAGACATGGATCGAATCCCGACGCTTGAAAACCAATCGAGCGTATGAACTCGTCGAAGGTCTCGTTCCAAACACGCGAGGCTTGCTTGAGACCGTAGATCGCCTTGATGAGCTCGAGACAGTCAAAATCACCTTCCATCTTGACGCCTTCTGGAACAGCGCAGAACACCTTCTCCTTCATCACTCCATACAGGAACGCAGTCACCACATCGAGCTGGTCGAGGGGCCATCCAAAGTGCTTGGTAATGGCGATGACCATTCGCAGCGTCACATACTTGACCACGGGCGAGAACGTCTCCGTGTAGTCGATGCCATACTTTTGGCGAAAACCCTTGGCCACAAGTCGTGCCTTGTATTTCTCGATCGACCCATCCGCCTTGCGCTTGATCTTGAAGACCCACTTTGTGCCAATGGCGCTTTGTCCGTTGGGTAACTTGGCCGCACGAAAGACACCGCGAAGCTTCATCGAATCGAGCTCCGCATCAATTGCCTTGCGCCAGTGTACTTGGTCCGGGCCAGACACTGCTTCTTCAAATGTCGACGGCTCCGAAAAATCGACCGCTGCTTCGACGGCGTTTGCACTCGCATGCCAAAACGCGGAGGAAGTCGGTGTGTCATGTTGTTCCTCCGACTTCCTTTCTTCATCTTCGTTGGCTCGACGTGAAGAGAGGTCATCCGGCGCACTTGACTCTTCCAATCCGGGTCGTTGGCGCAATGCTCGGGGCATGCTTGCGTCGTCATTGTCGTGACTGGGTTGGGCCTTGCGCTTTCCTGTTTGTTTGAAGTGTCTCCGGACGCGGTTCTTCATCATCAAGATCGATCGATTCGAAGTCCAGGCCATCAACATCGTCATCGTAAATCAGCATCGACATTCCAAAGGCCGACTCATCGAAGTTGACATCGCGACTTATCATCACCTGCCCCGCTTCGATGTCGTAAACTCGATACGCCTTGGACACTTCTTCGTAGCCCAAAAACAATCCAGCCCGGGCCTTGGGATCCCACTTGAGTCGTTTCTCCTTCGGGGTCAAGATGTATGCTTGGCACCCAAAAACGCGCATGTGCTTGACACTTGGCTTAGAATTGTAGACAATCTCGAACGGTGTCTTGTGTGGAATCTTGGGTGACGGCAAACGGTTCTTCACATAGACGGCCGTCATTGCCGCTTCAGCCCAGAAGCACTTGTTCAATTTGGCATGATGGAGCATGCTACGACCGATGGTGACGATAGTTCGAATCGCGCGTTCAGCAGTTCCATTGGCTTGATGTGCGTATGGCACCGTGGTTTGTTGCTCGATGCCTTCGACTTCGTAGAAATCTTGAAGCGAGTTCGTCGCAAACTCGCGGGCTCCATCGTGTCGCACAAATTTGACTTTCTTGTTGAACTGCGTCTGTATCATCGTGATGTACTTCTTGATGCACTCTTCGCTCTCTGACTTGGAATGCAGACAAAAACCCTTCATGCATCCGCTGGCTTCATCCACGATCAGCAGCAGATACTTGCTGCCACCCAGAGATTTTTCTTCCATGGGTCCGCAGATGTCGAAGTGGAGCATCTCGAAGGTGTTGTAGGTGCGCTTGTCACGGTTGCTCGGGAATGGTTTTTGGACCATCTTCCCTTCTTGGCATCCTCGAACACACACTTGATCCATTCGGCTTGGAAGGGATGTGAGCGTCCTTGATCATGTGGCTTGTCACCATCCTGCGAAGTACGTCGACTGGAGCATGGCCCATTCGCGCATGTAGATCAACAGCGTTGCTGAGTGATGTCGCATTGGCCGATCGCTGCGTCGTGCGAAGCCAGTAGAGTCCGTCTACAAGATCTGCAGCTGCCACCACTTGGTTGGAATCCTTGCGAGCGACGTACATCGTATCCCCGTCAAACACCACTTGGAAGTTGCCGTGCTTGTTAATCTGCGGCACCGAGAGCAGATTTTTGCTCATGCTGGGCACATAGAGCGCGTTCTTGATCTCGATCTCGCGCTCTTCCCCGTTTGGCAGAATCACCTTTTCCACGATGGTCCCCACACCTTTGATGGCCGCCTTGTTGCCATCAGCCACCAGGATCTCGCCATCATTGCCTTCGACCAAGCTTGCAAACTTGAACTTGTCGTGGCAGATGTGATGTGTTGCCCCGCTGTCAACGGCCCACATTCCTGGTCCATTCTTGTTCGTCGAAACTCCGCATTCGAACGAAACTGCAAACGCCACTCGATCGTAGCTGTTGCCTTCATCATAATGTCGCCACTGGACATTGTTTGCCCCGCGTCCACGACCATTGCCGCCGCGTTGGGCTCCTCGACTTTCATCCTTTTGCTTCGTCCAGCAACGCTCTGCCGTGTGCCCCCACCTTGCCGCAGTATGTGCATTGGTAGGGCTTGCGCTCGGTACTGAATGCCTTTGTCGCATCTTCAGTCTTCACCGTTGTCGTTGCCGTTGTCATCTTCTCGCCTTGTCGCTTGATGTGCTCGTTAGTCAGCACCTTGACCACATCTTGCGTGCGCAGCTCTGCATTGCTCATCTCCAAGTTCAGAACCACGTTCTCGAAACTCTTCGGGAGACTGAGCAGCAAGCAGATCGCAATGTCTTCGTCTTCCATCTTGGCACCGATGCTGCTGAGCTTGGCGCCGATGTTCAAGACTTTGTTGCAATGGTGCAAGACGTTGGCACCTTCCGCCATCTTGATGCTGAACAGCTGGCGCTTGAGGTAGATGCGTCCCGCCTTCTGCGACCCACCATAGAGCATCTTCAACCGCGACCACGCTGTCCATGCTTCTTCACAGTTGTCGACCACATGGTGGTAGTCGGCGTCCATGTGGAGCAACATCAACCCGAACGCGATGTTGCTCGCCTTGACGTACTCGTCGGAAGCTCGCGTGTCGGTGAAGGTTGGAGACGTTTCGCGGTTCACGACGTACCAGACTGACTTCGTCAGAAACACGCCGCGCATGTAGCGACACCAGGTTGAGTAGTTGTCCCCATCGAACTTATCGATGGAGACACTGGCCGAGGTGTTGTTGGACGACATGGCGCTTGGGCTCATAACCTGTTGTAACTTGAGCGCGAGGCGAAGAGAAAACGAAGCGGAGAGACCGGAGAGAACGAAGCAGAGAACACTTGCTCACTTGAGGGAGGATTCGAAAGTGATTGATTTATAGGTCTTAACTTCTGCCTACCCTAGACTGCATCCAATCACATGGTGCATCTAATCAACCTGATTTACACGCGTCCAATCATCCTACGCGTCTAATCATCTCTGAGGTAATTACCGATGTAAAAACTATCTCGTAAGAACTACGCGCTAGGTTCGGATTGTACCGGTAACCCTCAATATAAACAAAAGCCCTTCGTGCATCCACTCCACTGGCTTCGTCTACGATCAGTAGCAGATATCTGCTACCACCGAGCGAATCGTTTTCCATGGGCCCACAGATGTCCAGATGAAGCAGCTCACACTTATCATAGCTGCGCTTGTCGCGGTTGCTTGGGAATGGTTTTTGGACTTTTTTCACCTTGTTGACACCCGCGGCATGCAGTTGCTCCACCCAACTTGAGAGGGACTCGCACATCCTTGATCATGTTGGTTGTGATCATCTTGCGAAGTACGTCGACTGGAGCGGGGTGACCCATTCGCGCATGTAGACCATCGCAATGTTTTCACTTGTGTCACATTTGTCGATCGCTGAGTCGAAGCCAGTAAAGTCCATCCACTAGATCCGCTGAGACGAAGCCAGTAAAGTCCATCCACGAGATCCACTGTCGCCAACACTTTCTGTGAGTTCTTGAGAGTCACATACATCTTGGACCCGTCAAACACGACTTGTAGCATGTCATGCCTGTTAGTCTGTGGCATTGATGCAGGTTCTTGCTCATACTTGGAACATGTAACGCGTTCTTGATCTCGATCTCGCGCTCTTCGCCGTTGGTCAGAACCACATTTTCTATGATGGTTCCAACATCCTTGATGGCCACTATGTAGCCATCAGCCACCAATAGTTCGGCCTCATTGCGCACTACCAAACTTGCAAACTTGGTCTTTTCATGGCAAACGTGGTGCGTTGCACCACTGTCGACGGCCCACATTCCAGACACGTCCTTGCTCGTCGAAACTCCACATCCGAGAGAGACTGCAAACGTCACTCGATCGCAGCCATTGCCTTCGTCATAATGTCCCACTGGGCATCGTTCGCTTCGAGTCCACAGGCATTGCCGCCGCGTTGGGCTCCTCAACCTTCACTATTTTGCTTCGCCCAACAATACTCTGCTGTGTGTCCCACCTTGTCACAATACGTGCATTGGTAGGGCTAACGCTCGGCGCTGAATGCCTTGCTTGCATCTTCAGCCTACACTGTAGTCGCTGTTGCTGTCCTTTTTTCTCCTTGACTCTTGGCGTGCTCATTCGTCAGCACTCTCACCACATCTTGGGTACGAAGCTCGGCGCTGCTCATTTCCATGTTGAGCACCACATTTTCGTAGCTCTTTGGAAGACTAAGCAGCAGACAGATTGCAACGTCTTCTTCTTCCATCTTCGCACCGATGCCGCTAAGCTTAGCGGAGACGTTGAGGACCTCATTGCAGTGGTGCATGACGTTCGCGCCTTCATCCATCTTGGTGCTAAAACGTTGTCGCTTGAGGTAGATGCGTCCTGCCTTCTGCGATCCACCGTACAGCATCTTCAGACGTGTCCACGCAACCCACGCTTCCTCGCAGCTGTCAAGCACACGGTGGTAGTCCGCATTTATGTGTAGCAGCATCATCCCAAACGAGACGTTGCTCGTCTTAATGTAGTCATCGGACGCTCACGGGTCGGTGAAAGTCGGAGTCGCTTCACGGTTTACGACACACCATACGGACTTTGTTGTAAGTGCATGATGCACTGGATTCGACTCCAGAGATTCGACCCATGATAGGGTATGCCTAGAATGTTCTTTAGGGTTCTATGCATTATTATAGGTCGTACGGCAGCTAGACGTATGGATAGTTCTCACTTGTAGATTGACAAACCACTGATGAGGCCCCCGGCGGGGGGCCGAAACGCGTCTGGTGCGCGGTAATATACAAGTCATTTACTGTACTTAACTCCTACTTCTTACAGGTTATGAGCCCAAGTGCTCGCTGCAGACACCTCACCAAGGACCAACTTGTGCGAGGGACACCCCGTCAGAGAAGGCGCTCGATGCACGAGTAAGGCGCCGAAGAATTCATCGACAGGGATCGTTGACGGTGCGCGTGCAGTCGAAAAGGGTTTGTGCAAGGGTGGTGACGCGAGATGGTCTGAATGCGCGAGTGCTATCGAAGGAAGAGTCAAGTCAAGTGGTGACAAGTGTATTTGTGGTCAAGAAGAAGTGGAAACTACATGCAAGGCGAACGACGACTACGAGATGTCAAGATGTGACATGGTGCTGGACGATGGGGGAGCTGGAATACCTGGAACGCTCGGTATCATCGAGGTTGGCTGGAGCGCAGGGGCAAGACTCAATCAAGATTCCCATGGTGCACGGATGCAGCAGTGAGGATTACAGGCGGGTCGATACCAAAGTGGTCTGCATCTCATGTCGTCGAGGGGGAGTGTTGTAAGTGCATGATGCACTGGATTCGACTCCAGAGATTCGACCCATGATAGGGTATGTCTAGAATGTTCTTTAGGGTTCTATGCATTATTATAGGTCGTACGGCAGCTAGACGTATGGATAGTTCTCACTTGTAGATTGACAAACCACTGATGAGGCCCCCGGCGGGGGGCCGAAACGCGTCTGGTGCGCGGTAATATACAAGTCATTTACTATACTTAACTCCTACTTCTTACAGACTTCGTCAAAAAACACCGCGCATGTATCGACTCCAAATCGCATAGTTGTCTCAATTGAACTTATCAATGGAGACGTTGGATGATGCGTTGGTGGCGGACGACATGGCGCTTGGGCTCATAACCTGTTGCATGGCAGAGAGAGGAGCGAAGGGAATGGAGAGGCTGAAGAGAGTAGAGCAGGAGACACTTGTTCAGTAGTTGGAAGATTCGAAAGTGATTGATTATCGGGGCTTACTACATGATTTAGATGTGCTGCACATCTAGATCATGTGAAGCGTCTCATCATCCTACGCGTCTGACCAACTATGGATAATTAACATAAGAACTACGTCGTAAACACTAAGCTGAGCAGGCGGTTCGGATTGAACTGGTCACGATTAGCATGACTGGTAGAAAACCGATGACCGTCAACACGCCCTCTCAACCCGAATGCGAGCAGATGCCTAGCGGCGCCGTTAAGTCTTTGTGGCGCGGTCCGTGAAGTCCCTTGGTCATACTGTCTGCCAACATCACCGTCGTCTCGCAGTATTCAAGCTTCACTTCACCGCGCTTGACTCATCGCGAATGTGATGGTACTGGATATCAATGTGTTTAGCGCGGCCGTGGTTGACCGGATTCTTGGTCGTTTTGATGCAGGACTGGTTGTCTTCGCGGATCATGAGCTCGGGTCCGTCCTCGTTAGCAGCTGCCATGATCTCGCATAGTAAGCGGTGGGTCCAC